GGGCCCATAACCTGTTGTAAGTAGAGAGCAGAGTAATGTAACAGAGAACTAGAATTAGCCTCTCGAGAGAGAAACGTTCTACTTAAATACATTTCATATTACTTCGAGATCTTTCTACGAGATACTAAATAAGTCCGGATCACGATCCAAGTCAGCTGCCGCTGACTGGCATCGTATCTTCGAGTACATTCTCGTACTCGCTTGGGATTGCTATCCCAACATACCTGCTCTTTCATGTGCTGGTGAAGAGCCATCTGCAGCATAGCATATCATCACGTACAGCCAGAATGGGCTAAACACGTTCGCCCCGCAGGTGCATTTATAAATAACCGAGTCACAGATGCATAGTCCGCATCCTCCCCGTCGTTTGCATTTTTTTTTTATCGAGTGGATGGTTGATTCGACTTGGGACTTGGTTGAAATATCAGCAGAAAAATATGATGGGCTGGAGTTGAATGTTGAATGCGAGGATGGGATACCAGACTTGATATCTGGATTGTTATGAGCAGGCAGACAGTCTACTCATGATGAATGACCATCTCCAGAAACTGATGTGATGAACTTCGGACTGGAGATTTTTGCAGCTATATCGGTGAGGCAAGTGGGGATGGGAGAACTTGAGGACCCATACCTTTAGAACTTCAAGGATAGCTTTGTATGTAAGCTTTGGCTCAATCTGCCCTCTCACTCGGTGCATTCTGTTCGCTCGCAACAACAGAGCCGGGAACCTACCACTGGGGATTGTACCATCATTGCATCCTCCCCCAAAATCCAACAGCGCAGTACGGGTCTGGTTACAAGTTTCATGTGAAGAACGAAGGCGGCCTCTATCTGATAAAGATGGGCCAACTTGACCCAGCATATGCAGCTCATCTCTGGATCCATCTTGAACGGGTTAACTGCACCTTTCCTTCCCCACATACTGTATTTTCATGCCAAGTCTGGGTGGCCATCGCTCTTCATATTGTCGGCAGAGGCCGGTCACGTATCGCAAGCCAAATTGGCAACCAAATGCAGCTGTCCATTCTCTCTTCCGATGACGCCCATATAGACAGGTGGTATTACGTTTCTTCTTCATAGTGTTATCAATCATTGTCGCCACGTCTACCAGAATACTGCTTCGCAGCTTTACGGTAATTCTCTGCTCGAAGAATCACTCGGCCCTGCTGTCGATTCTTTTCACTCTGTCAATCGCCTAACCCTAACCTATACATTATGATGGCGTATACCACTTTACAATGAAGAGGGCAGTGGCGAAAACGTATTATAAAACCAGTCTAAGTTGAGAATATTTAAATTGATTACTGAAATACATGAAATGGAATAGCGAGGGTTTAAAGCTTGGATCTGTACGGTCATGCGAGTGGCTATTACCAGTACAGGGATGGAAGAAAGGGACAGAAAGATGAGGATAAACCATGTATAGGATGGGATAACTGCGAGGGTAATGCAAACGTACGATCTAACCGGTACCAGACGTGACACAGTGAATTGCATTCAGACAAACCCATGAACCAAGTAGCCAAAAGAATCCGTGTGACGTGTGACCATGGTTGAATATTAGCAAACAGCATCATCTAACTGGGAAATTCCAAAACCTTTCGCCTCTCCCAGGTCAAGAAGATTGGATATAAGCGAACTTCATGACAGGAAAATCTCTCTTGATGGCGTTGATGACGGTGCGGCCGTTTTCTCAGATTCATTATGTGAGACTCGGCACCGGATTTTTTAGATGTATGATCATAAAGAGCCCAGTCGTAATCTGTCGGCATGGTGTGAGCAGAAACAGCAAACCCTGTCAAGGATTTTCGATAATCCCTCAATGTATGTAGAGTCTGGAAATTTACCGAGGACAGATGGGGTATGGGTGCTACTGCTTGAAAATATGTGGAGGTGGACACCATGACAGAGTCCAAAGAGAGAGGACGACCCTCCGAGGCCCAATTAAGAATGTGTAGGTAAAGGCTTGACTATTACACTTTAAGACCCAGATGGACACCAGAGAAGATGGGGGAAGATAGATTGTCCATTGGTACCAAGTAGCTATGTACTTATACTATTTGTAGAGTGGCATGTAATAAGACAAAGGTAACTGGCAAAGACAATGTAAAATATTGAAAGAAAGGGGGAGGCTAACTAATGGTGACAAGTAAACACTGTATAGACAAAGAAAGGTAAAAGCAAGGTAAGGTAACAAAGGAAATGATCAAAGAAATGGTCTAGAGAGGGCGAATCCTCTACAAATGGGTCAAATCAGTTATTAACCCTCTTCTCTCGCATTATACAGCTACAATATTCCACGAGTAGCTGAGAATCTAACTATTAACAGACGCTGGAATAAGAATTGTCTTCTCAAAGATCTGTCATGAGATACATCCGGGCAATGTCGATAATGGTGATAGGTCATAAATGAGTGTAAATTGGTGTCCGCGAGCGCGTAGAGCAAAGGAGGAAGGACACGACATGTGGTCAAAGTAGATTCCACGCAGAGCGCCCACGATGCCGGCCGTTACTAATTTTAAGAACCCGATCGAATCTCCGGTTTAAGTTTAAATAATATATAGAATTTTAATGATGACGAACTTGTTCGTCGTTGTTACTTACATATCTGTTTTCTAGTCCTCACTCTGATTTTCCTGTCATACGTATGATGGACAATGTAAGTTGCATTGCTCACTTATACGCGCTCATCCTGACAACATTCAGAAATTGCCTTTCCCTCCACTACCATCCAAAGGATACCCGTGGCTAAACCGCATTCGTGGATACATACACGCTTTCATACTAATTCCGATATCATACTACTACTGTCGTCTTCGTGGTGAAGAGCTCCCGCCTGGCATTTTCCCCCTTCCATTCAACCTTATACTTAAATTCACGTCGGGTACCCGAGAGGAGGAGGGTCTGGCTATGTCCCTCGCACGTTCCATTGGCATTCCTGTACCTCGGTTCATCGAGTATGGTGATCACTGCGGCAGAGTGCCTTGGGGGTCCATTCTTATGACCCGCATACCAGGCAAGCCTCTGAGTGAGGTAATGGACAATCTATCGCGACAGGAATTGGAGACTATCAAATCGGAGCTCACGGATATCCTGAAACGCATGCGCTCTTATTCAAATCCATGGGGCAGCCGTGTTTGTGGCGTTGACGGAAATGATGTCTATGGGTCTCGTGTGCCTTCGCGGCATATCAGCGCCTGTGAAGACGAACCCACATTTCTCAAATCTCTTCTTCGATTCGCCCTTGTCAATGATAGTGAGAAGGACGGCGTCCGACTGCAGATGGCTCGGAAGTTGACGTCTCTACCTCACGATATCGTCTTCACCCACGGCGACCTTTGGGATCATAACATCATGATAAATGACGGACATATCAGCGGTATGATTGACTGGGAGTGGTCTGGGTGGCTTCCCGAGTATTGGGAGTTCACGTCGATCATGCAATGGCGTAGTTCTCCATGGAGCAAGCAATTGGCTACTTTACCTTGTTACAAGTACTACAGAGAGCTGGAGTGGGACTTGGCCCTTATAGGGCTCACGGATTCTTCCTTCTCCTTCTGGTAATGTCGGCAGACTGTAAAGGAAGGCGACTTTAGAGTAATGAGCCATGTAATCGATTGACTCACCTCAATTTATCCAGAAGGACTAGAAGGAACGTCACCATAGACGACAAGGGAGTAGAGATCGACTGTGATCTATGATCGTTATCTTACACAACACGGGGTGACGGTTCTTGAATAACATCATCGTCATCATAATATTAGACGCTACGCAGCAGCATTGTACCTCATTGTACTTCCGCAATGCTGCCACATGGGGAATGAGCGTAAATTTGAAATCAGGCTAACTCTTTTCTGTTTAACGAAACGCAGCTTTGATGTCTTGACTTTCTCAGTGGTATTAAGGATCTTGCCTGGTAGAATGACCACTCGTCCTTGCATTCATCTCTGAAAATTCAAATCATGCCCAGTGGGCATTTCATGCTGGTAATATGCGGTGGGACTTTGTTGATGGCATTAGAACATTCGAGGAGGAACCCGTTTATGGTGCCTTTTGACAGCTGAGATCCAGGATGGCAGTGATACCTGGACCCCCATTTGGAGATGTCATCGAAGAACTGTTGCGTTGTCAAGTCATACCAGTAGGTATGAAATAGGAACTGAAGCGGCCACCAGATATTCTGAAGCTAGATCACGGTCTCCAGGACTTGAGTCAAGGTAATTTCGCGTCAAGTCCCCTTTTAGTAGCGTACCATTTATATAAAGTCATGAATACGGGCCATCACGGGCCGTTACCTTTTCGAAACCATGGTGAACATGCCACTTGGTGCGTAAATAGAAGGTCGGCCATCGGGATTGAGGCGGGACCGTAAGCTCGCTCTATGACTTGACGCGGTGCCAGGCCTTCAATATCATCAATTATCTTGAATTTCGCTTCCTCGTCCTTCAAATTCCTCATTCTGATGTTCTAGAGAGATGCCCCGGATGAGGCGATCCTTATATGACACTCTCTGACTCGTCTGAACGTGAGAGGTGGGAGTCGGCGTGAACCATATTGGTAATCTCTAGAAGCCTTAAAAATCGACCAATACTCCTAGGTTCCCCCAACATTCTCTTCCTGTTCCATCCTTTCAATTGTCAGTGTATATATCTTTCATGACATCTTTCATGCCCTTATGTTTCACGTCCTTACGTTCGCCTTTTTTCAGAAATGTCTCTCGAAGTTGGCGCCATTTATATCATTTTGTTCGCTCGCCCAACAGAGCCGGGAACTTACCACTGGGGATTGTACCACCATTGTACCCCCCCAAGTCCAATAGCGCGATACGGTTCTGGTTACAGGTTTCATGTGACGAACGCAGGCAGTCTCCCAGGACAGTTTGTGCAAGATTTCGGCATGACCTCAGGCGCATTGATCTCATTCGCTTTGGTTGGACTTATCAAGATCGGCCAACTTGACCCAGCATACGTGGCTCATCTCCGGATGCATCTTGAGCAGGTTGACTGCACCTCTCCTTCTCCAGATATCATATTTTCGTGCCAAGTCTGGGTACTGAAGGCCATCGCTCTGCTCATCCATCTGGGTGTCGTCCACTGCAATGACATCAATGCGCTAGAACGCGAAGTATGTGGCTTCGCAGACCAAGAATGGGCTAACGCGGAAGGCAATAAGCAGCCACGCCCTATTGTACAGTCAAATGTTTGCACTTTTGCTTAACAAGTGAGTTTCTGCATCATAGTCCTGGTAGAGCCATCTGATGCTTTGTCATCCTAGCGACAGAATTACCTGTTAGATTTTCAATGTCTGAACTCAATGAATAAGAAAGATTTTACGTAGCTCTTCTGTATTGTCACACGTGTATAACATAGAAAGTGTTATGTTTGAGCATAAACCTATAGAAAATGAATTAGTACTTCACTAGTAATAATCAATTTACCTTAGTAAGATCGACGTGTTCAGAAGATGAGAGAAAGTTTCTAAGAACTTAGAACTAAGTTGAGGTTCAACTAGGGATCCGCACCGTACCTGTAATTACAATATTACGGGACGGTTGATACCGGTACCGTAACCGTACCGTGCTTGATCTTCATCACAACCATACAGGTCGGTATACGGTACGGACTGCACCCGTACAATCCGTACAAAACACAGCCGTGTACGGCTGTATATACAGATACCCAAGTGGTATCATCGGATCTTGAAATGACATCAACCAGCTGATTGATTGCATGACCTCCTTTCTCCAGAGCTGCCATGTCGACAACCATTCTAGCTGTTCTATTCCCTGTTACCCTTGCATTTGCCCACTGCTTGCAGCTTGACATTTCTTTCACTTATTACTTCCCAACTCTATCCCCAGGTCATGATTATCTCTTCTGTAATGACCTCCTTAGTCAATATGCAATATATCACTAGCCATTTCACTCCACCTAGCAGAAGTTTCAGTCAAGAATATTTCTGGGGAATCACTCTCTTTGCCTTCTGTTCATGGTTAATCCTTTTTTAGTTTGATGTGGGCCTGATAGATATAGGTCCATCATCTCCAGCAGCTGAACCATTGGAATCTACATTCCTTGATGGATCTCCTCAAAAGGTGGACTTCACATCTCGATATGATGATGATGATGATTCTGCAGTCACTGTTGATGAGTTTGAATGATACTTTTCTATCCCAAAGGAAATTTTCCATAACACTAACCCAGTGAATTAGTGGTACATTTGCTGTCATGACTTTCCATGACCATATTGTCTTGCTCATGATTTATTATCAATCCCAGATATGATTGTACACTATATGATGCAACATGTGTGCTGGCATCATGCCCAACCCCAGGCTCTGCAGTAGCAGTAGAGCATGTGTCTTCTGAAAGTAGAGACACTGTTTCTCTGTGATGAGCATGGTTAAAGCCTGACACCCTTCATGTTCTGATGCTAGTCAAACACAGGCTTCAACTTGCTCACAATGCTGTTGAGGAACTTCTAGCTAATAATGAGGATGAGGTAAATTTTGCACCATAGTTTTAGGTACATATTTAAGTACAGGACAAAGCTACAGTCATATACCCATAATACAGGCAGTATTATTACCATACTGTAAAGCTCCTAGATTTCTTCTGTACAGTTGCAGGTATGGGATATCCATATCTGCATGCAATCCATATAGTTGATGGTCATACCCATATACAGGTATGGTATGGATCCATAGGTTCAACTGTAACCTTGGAAAGATTGCATTAGTAGAAGCTGATTAACCTAATGAGGTTCTGCTTAAGATCACTTGATTGATGATGCATAAAGCAGAAGTAGATTAAAGAGCTATACTAATAGAAGAGGAACATATTATATACTATAGAAACACATCACTTGTAGTATATAAGTAGCTAGAATTTTTCCAATAAGAGGAACTTGCTACAAACCCCAACTACAGTTGTGTAATACAACTCTTCTATACTTGGCATCTGCGACTCTAATACTCACGACCGCATCTCTGATGGTATCTGCATGCTCTCAAAGATGTCAATGATTTCCTGCCACTCTTCTGCACCATCTTCCAGCCACATGACAATCTGGAGCATGCTGGGAGAAAGCCCTCGAACACGCTCGTGCAGGGACTTGCACATCATCCTGCTTTTCTTTCCTTTTCCAAGCTAACACTGTCACAGATATCAATGTCAAGCATCCTGTCATTCCCATCAAGTATCACGGATGGATCTCAGGCTGTGACCCAACTTTGCCCAATGCCTTTAGAACTTTAAGGATAGCTTTGTATGTAAGCTTTGGCTCAATCTGCCCTCAGGTTGTGGCGGAAAGATGAGGATAAGTGTGATTGCGGACTCATATAATCCCGTTACCACAATTGTTAGTCCCTCTTAGCTCAGTTGGTAGAGCGCGTCACTAGTATGACGAAAAGGTGTATGGTTATGACGAGGTCAGTCGTTCAAGTCGGCTAGAGGGAATCTCATTTTTGAACTTTGTCATAAGGTTGCACAAAATCTCCAGGGTCAGTAACTGTTTTACTAAAGGCTGAAAAGACCCTATGCATAGTCACATGACAGGTAAGTTAACCTCAATGAAAACTCTTCGGTTCTGTGTGCAACCCTGTGATTAAATGCGGGTTCTATCAGCTTCAGATTCGAAGATTCCTCGAAAGCCAAGTTTCCATGACCTGTGCAGCCTCGGCTGTATTATGGCCTGGGTAAAATTTCAATGTTCGGCGATTCATTAAATCTGGAGTATCAGTGTCTATAAGCTTCCTCTTCTAAATCGGCGCGACCGTGTTTGTTCACTATATGCCATTGAGCCATTTTCTGCTTTCAAAGCGAAGTTGGAAGAAATTTAAGTGCGACTTGTTCACGTGATGTCATTAACCTTTTTGACGGCCGGCCTCGAGGACTTTTGGTCTTAGACGCCTAGTACGATGTCTGAACACACCGCAGGCCACCACCGTCCTACCATCCCATCCATTCCTCCCACCAAAGAAAGCCGAAAATAGGAACGTGAAAAAAAAAAAAAAGTTAACAAAAATGGGCAGCGCACTCGGACGCAATCCCAACGATGGCGGCCCCAGCAGCTTTGGAGACTTTTACGCCGTGCTGTCTATCGAGAGGGATGCGACAAGTGAGCAAATTCGGGCAAGTTTTCTCCTCCCCCTTTTTTGTTTCTTTTCTTCAACTGTGGCTCTTATTATTGATTGTGCAGAAAGCGTATCTCAAGAAGATCATCGAGACGCACCCAGATAAGAACTTGGAGGATGCCGAAGGGGCAAACAGGCGTTTCCGGCTGGTAAAGAAGGCGTACGATGTGCGTGGAGTGGAATTTTCTTTTTTTTTTCTTTGGCAGTCCTCTTTCCTAACTGACTTTGGCAGGTGTTGATGGACGACAACGTAAGCCTCAAAGATATATATATATATATTGACAGAGACGCATGGATAACTATACAGGAACGAAAAAGGTACGATATATATCCGGAAGCATTCCATCGCGAAGTATCCGACTGCGACGAAAATGCAATGAGCGCGGAAGAGAGTTGCCCTGATTACCCGAGTGTCCCAGGTGGGTGGACGAATGACGGTGGCAGCGACAACGACGATGCCGGCGGGCCATACCACTTCTTCCCTGGAGGAGGCGGATCCAGGTCCAGCCCCGAAAACTCGTTCTCCGAAGATGACGACAAGGTCTCCTTCGAGGATCTCATCACGTTCCTGCGCTCCCTGGAGGGTTTGTCTTGGACTGCCGGCGAGAGTCATCCCACGGTTCGTGCTGGGCTCCAGTATACCCATACCCATACCCGATCCAACCTCATGACCCACTGTAATTATAGAGTGCATTCAACGTCATACCCGAGTTTTTCGCCCGGCTTGTCGACGATGAGCTGCGCTGCAGCGACAAAAAGGCTTCGTCGTATCCCTCCTTCGGAGACGCGCAATCCGTGTTTGAGCTCTCTACCTACACAGATGAAGAACGCGCCAATATATCCGGAACCGAAGTCCGGCGGTTCTATGCCTTTTGGTCCAAGTTCCAGACTGCGAAGCGGTTTGAGTGGTTCGAACCTGTTTATTGTCCTTACTCCTTTGATGATCCTCAATACCAGAGGTGGGCTAAATCCCGTGTTTTGATGGAGCTTCTGGCTGCTGACAAGTGCTAGGTTCTATCGGAAGATGAACAAGAAATATCAGGACGCGCTGCGGTTCAAGTATTCTGAGATTATCAAGGTGCGTTGGGGCGTTGTTGCTTTGCGGAGGTAGGGCTGACGCTTATGCAGGTTGCTGTCATAGCTCTGCGTGATAGCGACCCTCGATACAAGGTCCATGTTGAGCGTAAGAGTAGTGGATTGTATTATTCGTTGACATGTTGAGATTCGGTTTTCACGGCTTTAATATCATATTCTATTTTATATATATTTACTGCTTACTTTATACTTTGACATTTTTCGTACTTATCGACTTGACTTACAACCTCCACTGTCCTTACCCTATACAACGAAACATACCTTTCCTTCGACCAATATGCCCCCCTCCGAATTGCCAGCACCTAAATTCCAACACAACAAGCCTCCAGAAGTTGGACGCTGAGAGGAAGCAGAAGAAGCAGAAGAAGAAAGATAGGAAGAAAGGTAAAAAGGGCAAATGGTGAACTGGTAATCGGACATATTTTCTTGGGCCTTCTATCTTGGGACAGCGTGGGTACTTCTAGAGTGTAACTATTGGGAATTCAGGTTCTGTATTTTGTAAATCATTGGTGCGCTGTCACCATTTATCTAGGGACCACTTGATAGCGAGGCAAATGTCAGCTATCAGTCTGCTGTGTGCAGTAAGTAATTACTCACTCGTAGGGCCCGTGGTAGCATGGGTCGTGGGTGAGGCATATTCCTGCCGCAGATGATGATTCCGACGAGAACGATACTACTATCAATCATTCGATAAGACAACGAGAAGCAAAGATGGGTTAAGCCCAGGGATTCGAACCCTCAGTGAAAGGTAGGGAACCAAAAGGCTATTCACGTCATTGCTGGGAAATCTCACGAGATAGCCGCTAAGCTGTCACGCGATATGATAACACCCGCATGTCTTGTATTATGGCTCCGACAGAGTAAAGCCTACCAGCCTCATCCCAGCTTGCAAAGAAGGTAAACTGAATAATAGGACTCGCCCCGGTGTTTCAGTGTCGACGGAGTAATGGGCGTGAAAAACCCCGAGACACGCCAAATGCGCGAATTACGCCTCAGACAGTACAATAAACCTGGTGTTAGGTGAACTTTAACAGACAATGAAGGCCGGTCGATATCTTTCATATTCCAACTCTTGTCATTCGACGTGTATACTAGTCCTCCATCGACAAGTTGGGTATCACGGTTTTATTTATGGCCTCGACTTGGAGTCGCTTTTCAGATGATTTCTCAACGCACACAGGTATATTTTTCCTGGCCCGTGCTATCGTTGAATTAGCTCTGGCGGAATGACAGAGCATACAGCTCCCATGCTTTTTGTATTGCTTTCTGCAAGGCCGTTGATGTTGAGCATGATCTAGACCATCCCGTTATCGCTTCATCGTCGCTGGTCCAAATAGGAATGTACTTGCCTCAAAGGCCAAAGATTCTCTGTTGGATATTCCCGTTTTAGTACGTCCATTTCGGGTATTTCTAGGGACATGAACGTCGCATTTTGTAATGCGATTCTTTCCTTTCCGGACACAGCGCAGGAAGGAAATTCAATAAACGAGACCCAACTTCAAAGGTCGCCTACTAGTGTCTCGACCGGGACACGCGATTATACTTCTTTCCCGCGTAGATATGACGATTACACCATCATATCTCAGTGATCTCAGTCTGCTGCTGGATTGGCCTTTGGTAGGATCACGCCCTGAATATGAATATCAACTTTTGCTCCGTTTGCTCCGTCTTCTCTGGCTGGAAGAGGCAGTCAGGTACTGCTGTACTGGAGAGAGGACCTTTTCGGCTGCGCCACCCCCCCCCGTCTCATGGCCCGTTTAGCATGTAAGACGCCGTGGCTATGCATTCTGGAGCTTCGAGCCACAATGAGTTTGGAGCGGCCCAAATCACGCAATCTCCGAAACTGAGACCAGAGCTTCGAACTGCAATCGTGATGGAGCGGCCAAAGCACGTCATCAGAACTTACATAAATTACAAGGCGTATACTCCTTTTCCCACCAGCCCATGGCCACCGACGAGCGTTCTATTTCCAGTCGCGGCAAGGAGGAGGAGGCGACTGAAGATGTGTACAACGAGAGTACTATTGACCCGATATATCAACGCAAGGCCCATATTCTCAACGATGCGATTCAGGGTATTGGAATGGGAAAATACCAGGTATCTTGTCTGGAACTTTCCTCTCCTTTGATGATTGCTGATATATCCACGTCTGCTTCAGTGGGCTCTGTTCGTCGTGACTGGATTTGGCTGGCTCGCGTGAGTTTACTTACGTCCTTTTCGCCGACGATCGATGGATATAATTTGACAACGTCATCGATAGGGACAATCTATGGCCGGTAATGCTATGCTGCTCTCACCGTCATTCGAGTTGACAAACCAAAAAAAAAAAAAAAAAAACTTCATTAACAGATCGTAACCGGGCTCATCCTGCCAGCGGTCGTACAAGAGTTCGAGTTTCAAGGGCCGTTCCTCAAGCTCGGACAGAATATCGGTCTTCTTGTCGGCGCAGTGTTCTGGGGCGTAGGTTCGGATATTTGGGGACGCAGGTCAGAATATTCGCTATCTCTTACTATCTTCACGCTCCCAATTATGCCATGCCAACCAGAATTTCCTTCAATATAACCTTGCTTATCACAGGTGTCTTTGCACTTGCAGCGGGGGGTTCACCAAATTACATCGCCTTGTCGTCATTTGCTGCAGTATGGTCCATTGGCGTTGGAGGTAATCTCCCTGTCGATTCCGCCATATTCTTGGGTGCGTTTCCCCCGCAGATATGATGAGACCTTATGGCTTAACAAATGTTGGTTGGTTAGAATTTCTTCCAAAGTCTCATCAGTATCTCCTTACCGTCCTTTCCATATGGTGGGCGTTTGGTCAGCTGCTCGGAAGCTTGGTATGTGGGAGATTAATATTCGGCTCCACGTTCCTACGTAATGACCGCCTGGGTTGCATAGGTCGCCTGGCCTCTGATCGGTAACTATTCTTGCGACACGAACCAAGTCCCCTGTCCGCACTCCGCAAACCAAGGATGGCGCTATTTCCTATTCGCGATGGGAGGATTGATGATGTTGCTTTGGGGAGTCCGATTTTTCGTCTTCAAGCTTTACGAAAGTCCCAAGTACCTAATGGGCCGGGGAAGAGACGCCGAGGCTGTGGAGGCTGTGCATAAGGTCGCCAGGTATAACGGGAAAGAAAGCAATTTGACGATTGAAGATCTGAGAAAGGCGGGCGATGAGAAGGAGAATCCAGATGTGGAGCCGGTGGTTATGGATACTTCTGTGAAAGCAGCTGTTCGGAGGAACTTGAGTGAGCTCAGCGGGGATCATGTTCGCCCGTTATTTGCCAATGCGAAATTGGCCTGGTCGACTAGTCTGATCATTACCTTGTGGGGTGAGTTTTTTTTTTCTTTTCGTGCTTTTATGCCTATCTGAAGCATTGTCTACCTAGCACTAATTGGACTTGCCTTTCCCCTGTATGCATCCCTTCCATTCTTTTTTTAGATAAGCGCTGACATGCAAAAGGTATAACGCCTTTGTGACTTACTAGTGAGCCAATCCTTTCCTTCTAATTTCGCATCATGCATTGTATTGTTGTCTCAGTTTGTCCACCCGAGGCGCCGATTTCGGTGATGGCTCCGTGTACATCACCTATCGCAACGCAAGTACCCCCTTTCCCTTCTCCCTCGGTTCTTTAGTAATAATACACGACCTACCAGCAAACAATCTTAAGCGTCATCGGAGTACCTGGGGCACTGCTGGCGGGATACCTCGTCGATCTCCCCCTTCTAGGCCGTCGTGGTACACTGGCAATATCAACAGGTTGTTTCGTTCCGCATTGGTCCTTTCTCTCTCTCTGTGATTCCAGGCTCGCTGACCCGCTCCGCTCCATAGTCCTCACTGGGGTGTTCATCCTCGCGTCGACCACTGCACGGACCTCTGATGCCCTGCTCGGCTGGAACTGCGCGTATAGTTTCACGAGTAACGTCATGTATGGCGTCCTGTATGCCCTCACGCCCGAGCTGTTCCCCACCAAAGATCGCGGGACGGGGAACGCGCTCGCCGCTGCGGCCAATAGGGTCTTTGGCGTGATGGTCAGTCGGACTTGGGTTCTTTGATCTTCTTCATAACTTATCTGTGAATGAATACTCGCAGGCCCCGATAATCGCTTTGTATGGGAACTTGACGACGTCGGTGCCGATGTTTGTTTCGGGGGCGCTGTTTTTGGTGGCGGGGGCGATATCGCTGCTGTTGCCGTTTGAGTCGAGGGGAAGGGCCGCCCTGTAAGCTAGGCGTACGAGGTATTCTTGCTTTTTTTTTTTTTTTTTCAGATTGGGTCGGGAATTATGATAGGTGGTGATGAGAATCGGTTCATTGTGTAGGATCTCTCGCTTCTTTAAGTTATCATCAATCATCAGCGTCGAGCATGGCTCGGGCGGGGTACGGCATCTCCAGCTGATGCTTGTGTGATTTTTTGAATGTTTGAAGCACGTTTAGATGCTTAGCTACCAAAGGGTTCGAGTATGACACGATTGGCTCTAGTGTCGCCTATCTGCTACTACTAGTAGGATTCTGATGAACAAAAAGACGTTCTCGATGGGGCTGGCGATGTATATCTTTAATGTATCCTGGGGGAATCCTCTGCTGAAAACCTAAACGGGCTCGATCAACTAGTCAGTTCCATTTATTTTGTTTAAATACACTCTCTACATTATACAAAATTCGCAATAGTCCAGAGTAGCGATAACGCGGTTGTGGCTATGGAAAAAAAATCTGCTTAATTGTCCGAGCAAGAATAATTTTCTGGCTGTTCCTTTTGCTTTCTCTACCTGACTCCGTCGTCTCACATTTGTCCGTCAAAAGTTGATTCTACTATATCTTCCAAGTCGTAGGGCTCCTAGCGAGTATAGTTGAAGTATAGCATTACAGTTCGATCATGGCCACTAGTTTAATGAGTGATTTGGGACCTCGGCTTAAGTCAAGTCAAAGCAACGGCACCGAATACGCTTTCTCTGAAAAAGAAGTCAGCCTTACTTCTTGTGCATGCTGGAATAATATAGAAACTCGTAGAATATTAATAACTTGAACTATCTATAGTATATAAAACTGTCCTTACCATGTATGAAACAAACCAATCAATCTCACTTTCAACCAACCCTTCACACTGCGTGAACTCTCAGTCACGCCAAGCGCTTTCCGACACCAACTCGAAGGCTACGCTTAGCGCTTGCTTTCACCTCCAGCATGTAGTAGCTTCGCGCTTACCGGCCACTTCCCTCAGTAATTGCTTCGTGCTTACTGTCCTCATTTATTTCGCAAACCGGACCTCTCAGGTCAGGTCTCCTCACGGACCCTCGCCGGAATTCGTTTCTGATTCCCTAGCGTCGACATACATCATTTCCAATTACCTTCGATCATCACACCTCGCCTCGTGCTCGCATATCCGGACTTCGGCATATTGATGATGACGAGAAAGACGCGGACAGCACGAGAAGTATGTTACATAGAAAAGACGGTCCCCCACCTCAATGAATTGCATGTGCGCAGAAACCTTGAAGGCGGAGCTCAACGAGATCAAAGGGTAATGTGACGAGCGCAGCCGCCTGTCGTATAATCCCGAGTTAGCGAGGCCGAGATGTACACGAGGAACAGATCTCAGGGCGATTTTCCATTCATCGAGTCTGATCTATTTTTGTCTGATAGTTGTAAAGCGAACCTGAAAAGCAAGACAAAACATATTTAGGCACTCTAGGCAGTTCGAAAGACATGTAATCAGCATCAGAGGTTGTGTCATTCATTACGCGATAAGACCCCAAATTGACGGACCCCCCAAGCCATAGCACCGAGGGCTGTGCCCTTACAAAGAAGGCGCAGCATGAATGAAAATAGCAAATCCCACAAAAAGGATCCGGGGAGTTGTTCGTTAAGCGAAAACCGGACGAAGCATGCCATGCACAGGTGCAGTTATATTAAGAAACAAACATGAATGTCATCTGGGTGTAACAACCCGGTCAATACGGAAATTCGTAATATGAACCGTCCCGAGCCATAAGTTTGAAAGACCAAAAGTCAGCTTCAGACTTGACAAGTCTGCTATTGTGCATGTGGCCCGTGGACATCTCCAACGCCAGCATACAAGAATTCGGCTTCACACACTGGAACTCGCTGACAATGTCGTTGATGCGTCGATGGCCGTGAACACCGTGGGGGGCGTACATCAGAATGATGGGATCGGCAATGGAACGGACGCTCCTCGGATTGGCGAAGGAGACAGCAATGTAGCGGAGGAGGGGGAAGACACCACTAGCCACACCCTCCAATAGCCGTGTCTGCAGAGATAAGCATCAGCACCGGATCCACACCGTCAACCACGACACTCACAATGACGTTCTCATCATACGGAGCATCGACCTCACCCAGCCCAACAGACACGTCAAGAGAGACCAACCCGGAACACCTCATGATTTCATCCAGTTGCGTGTCGCCAAGACACCACTTGCCCTCAAAATCCGTGTTGACGCGCACGTTCCTCAAGCTCCCCGAGTGCTTGGGCACTACGCAATGATAGAATCTGTCCGCAGCCAGATCTGATTTGGCGACGTCGTCGTCGAATCGCCCTGCTGACAAGTCCTTTAGACCAGCGTAGGACTCTAGATAGCTTAGGAGGGGTTCATCGAGCTCTCGCACCGAGAGCTTCTGCAGATAGATACGCGCGGTCTCGAGTGCCCGCCAGAAATCGGCCGGCACAGAGATGGTGTCGGAGGTGATGACGAGGGACGTGAGGGATTTGAAATGGGGGGGGATCTGTGGGGCCGGGTCGAGGAGATAGCGCATCGTGCCACCTATGGTGAGGCTCTGCAGGGGGAGCGTCGTCCCTGTGGGGAGTTTGGAGAAGAGGTTCTCCATCGTGGCGGCCTTGTCGGACTTGAGTTCGGATGTTCCGTCGAGGGTAAGCTCCGTGAGTTCGGGGCTGTTGGCGATGATGATGGAGGGCGCGTCGTTGTAGCAGAGTCGGAGGCCACATAGGTGGATGGAGCTGAGGTTCTTGAAGTGTCGCGAGAGGGAGAGAGATACGCTGGGGTCGACGTCATGATACATGTGAACGGATAGCTTCGACAAGCGGGGGAGGGCTCCTAGTGATTGCATGATCTTGTCCGCAGACGAAGGCTGGTTGGTGTGTATATCGAAACTGGGAGACAGGGTCAGCGCATGCATCGAATGCTGGAGATTTGAGAACGCACTAAAGTGAGGTGACCGCTTCGAACTTGGTTATCGCACGAAGAAAGTCATTCTCGAAAGCCCTATACACGCGCTGCTTGCGCTTCATGATCCGTTGCCATAGCTTGAGACGCTTGTACCGCGGTGGGGTCAGGGATAGTATAGTGAGAGTCTGAACGTGCCTGGCCACATCACTCCGGCCAGAGGCGATAGCCTTGAGGATGGACGAGTATTTGCGAAATTGAGAGCTATCCGTATCGATTTTCATACTTGAGAATACGAAAGGCGTGGCGACTGCGTTGAAACGCTTGCATGTCGACCGTAGGCGTTTCAGGTCAGACATTTGTAGCTGACGATCGACGATGAGATCATGACGGCGCCAAGATGGTCGTATTCACCTTTTGAAAAATCTGATGCAGTAACTCGGGGGGAAGGGTTGGGATCATAGTGTGCGTTGGCAGGAAGACGGTGGGTGAGCTGTAAATATAAGTAGCTGTTATCCGCAGCCAGTCGGGTCCCTGATAAAAGGTACCCTTGATGGTAATTGGCAAATGTTTCAGTAGAGGCGGCCGAGATTCAATTGGCCAAGCTAGGAATGATTGACATCATCGTTACACCAGCGCTAAATTTGGATGAAAGCCGCGTGCTGTTGAGGTTCGAGTTATCATGCAATGGTCTCTAGACAACGCGCCTCGAGGATGGATGTGTACATATCCATAATTTCTGGCCAAATTTTACATAATAAATGACCATCGAAGTACACATTTACCACGTTCAAGTGAAGCAAGCTCGTGGCAACTGCGAAAGGCGGGACGAATTCGCATGTGACATGATGGGGGCGGAGATCTGGATCCAACAAACCCCGCATTATTAGCAAAACTACGAAACTGGGCCCGGAAGTCACAATGAGAATTAATTGATGTCAGTAGCCGACCGGTCAAAATCCATTCGCAAGAATTCGAAAGGTAATCACAAGTGGGTGACCATTGAGCGCACACTGTAGCAAGATTTTGTATTTTGCGATTTTCCCCAGGACTTCATATCAATGGTAAAGCGTAAGAACAAGAAGGACAACTTGATCCAACCACCACTAGCATACATACTAGGTTGACATCGCCACCAGGGGGGGGTTGTGGGATGGGGGGCGCACAGTCATGGTCATTACATTCTACCAGGCCGTCCGGGGTCCCCGAAGAGATGCAAACCTGGACTGATCAGAAAGTCGAAGTATGACAACCGTAGAAGCAGAGTTCCATTTTTAAGACGCGAGATGGTCGTTTGACTCTTTTAAGGTGCACGTCAGTGTGAAATTCTGATTTTCGAAAGCCACCGCCACCACGTGACTTTAATCCATATTTGGACCTTTTCAGTCAACAGTTTTTTTTAATTTTTTGCTTCCACCAGGTGCTGACTGAACACTGGCAGCATCGGATATCGAGGATATTCTGGAGACATCAAGTGAGACTGTCTCCTTGTTTTCATTACTTCCGTCTTCACCAATATGATCCTCGCGGCAAAGATAGACCGCCCAAGCGGCTGCTATGTTTACCCGCTCGACCTGCCGTAAGAGCTAAGATTAGTAATCATCCAATTGTCGTTAATGAATTTCATAGCCCTCTAAGAGATGATCTTCATGGTTGACATCAAATAATTGTATATCCGATGCACCTCGATTGAAATGTCATCCTTGGGTTTCTTACCCTCTGCAGGCTCCCCTGACGTACTTCTAGGGCTGATGCAACTCTCCTAGAGTCCAAAGAGTATCCTTCTCCATCATGTTTCACAGAGCGTGGACAAAAAATGAAGGTATCACTTTTGCGTCGCTATCTAATAATGATCACAAGCTAATATCAGCAAATCCCGTGGAATTTTAATGCTGAAAAGACCTGCATTTGGCTGTGCAAGACCGACGCCTGTGCAAACCCCTATGGTGGACCCGGACCTATCAGCTGATCACCAAAGAACTTTCAGCTGAACCCGCCTTGCGTTTTATGCATCCAAATATTCGAGACCATCTGTCTGCGCGAATATTCAGCGAAGGTATGAAACGTCGGCACAATTTCAGACATTGTCTGCCTTCTCTTCCTATCCTATCGGATTCCCTCAGATCCGCCACCGCTTCCGCACAAATCAACAGTGCCTTGGAATACTAACCTAGTATTCCCACAGTTTCCCATTCAATGATTGATCATCGATCGGCGCCACAGCATTTGCACCGACTCATGCCTACAGACGTCGCCGACGAAGCAATACCCCCTAGGCATCAACTGCGCTGCTTTTGCCCTTCCAGCAAAGCAGGCGATGCCTTTCTCGGTGATCCCTGCAGAGACGACACCGCAACCGTAGGATTATGCACGGTGACCTCGAGCTCCCCTTATTGGTTTTCGTCCTCCTCTGGAAGATTATCAGTGCTATAAAATGCCTCACCAAGGTCGGATTTCGACACCCGCTTCCTTTCTACATCATCTGACCTTTTCCCTGCCATGAAGCTCACACCTCTTTCATTTTCCTTGATTGCTGCGATCCTTCCGGCCACGGCGTACGCAGCGACATACAACGTGTCGGTCGGAGCCAACGGGACGCTCGCTTACGACCCGCCTTACGTCAGAGCGTCTGTCGGTGACACGATCAACTTCAACTTGTACGCATGTCACCGACGCGTTCTGATACAATTATCTTACGCCCAATTTTAGCTACCCAAAGAACCACACTGTCACACAGTCCTCCTTCAACGCGCCATGTGTTCCTCTCACGGACGGTGTCGATTCGGACTTGTAAGTGTATATCCTATCTCCTGATCCTTCCGAGCCTAAAACTGTTTTCATAGCATGCCAGTAAACGCCAGTCAAGTCCACTTGCCTACATTCCAGCTTTCAGTAGAGGACACCAGTCCAATCTGGATTTCCTGCCGCCAAACCGGCCACTGTGGCAAAGGTTAGCACTACGTCCCATTCTCTCTGCCTGTTCCTGTATGGCTAATCTTCCTGTGGCTTTCAGGTATGGTATTCGCCGTTAACCCAGGCGCAGAAGGCTCCTCCAACTCCTTCTCCGCATTTCGAGCTCTCGCGATATCCACCAACGGCACCGCCTCATCTTCGGCAGCAACAGTCGCTACCACTAACTATACCCCTCCGCCCGCACAATCCTGGACGACAGCGACGGCGACGGTCACTCATGGCACCACATCCTGGTTGACAACGTACACCAGCTACGACGGTACTCCCGGTACGGCCTTTCCCCCCCCCCATGAAACGGTCAATCCTCCTAACCGATCTTCTTCTCCTAGCCCCGACTTTTGCGCCCCAGCCCGTCGACCACAAGATCGTCGTTGGGAACAACGGACAGCTCGAATATGGACCCGCCAATATCAGCGCGTCCATCGGGGACTCGGTTACGTTTCAGTTCAACCCGAAGAACCATACCGTCACTCAGAGCAGCTTCCAACACCCGTGCCAGCGCCTGGCGGAGACGTCCACCTCCGGACAAGTTGGGTTCTCCTCCGGATTGTGAGTGCTTCCTCCCCCCCCCCCCACCCCTCTCTCTCTCCGTTGCCAAAAAAACCCTGTCTGACTGAACGTTCCTATACTGGCAGCCGGCCCGTCGCTGCTAATGCCACTGATTTCCCGACGTTTCAGATCACGATCAACGATGTGCGTTTTGGATTTCTTAAAGCTCTCCGTTCCCGTTCCCGTTCTCCCTCACTTGAGTTGACGCTGTTGATTAGACTGCCCCGATCTGGGGCTACTGTGCTCAGACGAGCCACTGTGGTTCTGGGATGGTGTTTTCGATAAACGCTGTTGAGACGGGGCCTAATAACTTTGCGGCCTTCAGGGCGCTGGCGATTCAGACGAATGGTACGGGGACAGGGGCCGGGGGGAATAGTACAAGTGCAAGTGTAAGTGCAAGTGGAAGCGGGAGCGGTAGTGGGAACAACTCAGATTCGAGCTCGGGGTCTGGAGTCGACAATGGTGCTCTGTCGATGAGCGGAGACATCAAGTTGATGAGTCTTGGTGGGCTTCTCTACGTCGTGGCTTTGCTACTATGATCTTTGATCGGCCGTGCTGGCTACTTACTTCGGATGGTTTATTTAATGCTGGACGTCAGTTTCGTTACTGTATCATGCTAGGGCTCGTTTTGTTTCAAATAATAGAATGGGACTGACTCTTCATCACTTTCCTTTGTGCGATCTTTAACGACTAAATGTACAGAAATATCAATGGACCAGGCAATCAAGAAGGTCGAATTTTCATGTCTGGGTTCAGCAGCCGGACGATGACGGTCGGGCTCAATGCCTTCAAGTGACTGTGAGTGGGAAACAGCTTCAGGATGCGGATTAAAGCGAGCATACTGTGATGTATGTATTTGATAGCCTGGATTCAGAAGGAATTGGATGAGCGATGAAATCTCCATCGCGGAAGTCCCTGGAGCAGCCGGTGAAGCTTGAAGGGAACTTGAAAGAGCCGGAGCGGTAGGAAGTGACTCGAAGGACGAATAAAAAGTCTAGTAGTCAAGGTTAACAGTACGACGGAGTGCGACTGGGTGAGCACACTTACCATGATATCATACGGTTGAGGGAAGATGAACGGATCGTCGTCCAGAGTCGAAGGGATTAGTTTCTGGGTGATGGCGAAGTTCAGAGCGATTAATGCTACCTCCTTTAAGACAGACGCTGCTCACCTCTTCGGAAGGAAAGGGAAAGGGGACGCAGTAATTGATCATGGTTAACTGTAAGATGCCACTTTAGCGATGTAGGAGCTGCATGTGGTTTACGCGGTAACTCATCTTTAGAGCAACGATGCAGTTGTCCAAGAGAAATAGCCAGCATCACGGTTTTAATTTCATTTTATCTTTTTTTTTTTCCTCCCATTGTTCGCCCGATTGAACGTGAACAAGAGGGCGACTTTTGTTTGCTGTCTCGGGTACAGTGCTTGGTGGCCCCCGGGGAAAAGAAATTCGTTATATATGTCTTCTAGCCCGGCTCCGAGTGGCGTTTGGGCAAAGCAGAGGTTCGAATGTGATATGACCTTGATTGAAACGAGTATATAGTTATATTACTTCGCCGGAGCCGTAGTCTGGACAGGCACAGGGAAGCATGCGCCGGCGGAGGCATGAGCGTTTGATATCATAAATGTATTCTCGAGCAGGCAGTGGAGTCCGGATTGGGTCGCCACTGAGGTTGCCTGACAGTTGCGTGAACTATCAAAGTGAGGGTAGTTCATGATGATACATACGTCACTCGGCATGGATAGTGAAGATGGGGGATATGACGGCCTTGGTCCCAAACATACAAATTTTGCCATCTGAATAAAAAATACGAGAGTTTCAGTGCGGGGGGTGCTGAAAAATAGATTCAGTTGTACAGAGATCAGAAACATCTGTCGCCTACATATATTTTGCATCGACAACGGTAGAAATTGACGGTCTTATGAATCAAAGTCTCGCATCGAAAAGTAGAGCAAGCCGGTGTCATGATGGTGTGAATGGGGATGTACGTGTCGAGAAGATTGGGTGCCATGTGGACGGTAGCTCCCTATGTGTGCACGATGATTGGATTGCAGACTGGATCAAATGTTGAGAGTGGATGCGCCTGCTATCCATTGTACATATATTTTCAGGGTCGAGTACTGCCAAGGAGACCGGATGTAACAACGAGAGAAATAGATTACCACGCGTTTCCAATGAAGTTTTTGGCGGATCTCCAATGATGAAGACGATCATCGCTCGATGCTACAGAACTCAAGATCAAGGCTGAATCAATGATGGACAGAAGGAGGTGACCATAACTTGTTGAAACTGGGATACATGCATTGTGTCGTCTTCCTCTGAAGTGGGAAGGGGTCTAGTAATTTGGATAATAACGCCGTGAAATATCAAAAGACTCGAATGAGTATGTCGATCTAATGGCAATTGCTACTGCAGCCTAAATTGTTTCAAATAAGGTTCGACCAAACAAACGTTAATGACCGTACTTACCTAACAGTCTATTCCATCTCTTGGATCAAACCAAAGAGCGGGACATGTGACGCAACATTTAGTCAGAATTAGTAATTGCTGGACTAGATTTTTTGAAACGCCCCAAGAAAGTTGGATAGATTATTAACAAAATAATCAACATGTTTCAAGGCAAAGGATACGGTCAGAGGGCAAAATCGAGTTGGTAGCGCGTCTTTTCGTTCCACGGCAGCGATGCGTTCAAGAGAATCGATCGGCGCTGCCCGCGCCCGAGTCGGTCGTTGCCGAAGCGGAAAGTGTTCCGAAAGTTTCATGCCCGAATGAACTTGACCATCATCAGCTTGAACTCTGCGACCAGTGGCAACTCCATCTCTGCTTTTTCTTTTTCTTTCCCTGGTGCCACTGCTCTTCTAAATCGTACTGAACCTATGGCATTAGCTCTCTAAGCTATTGTATTTCGTATGCTCAATCCGCCTATGTTCAAGATTCTCCCGGTTTCGGAATCCTGATTAATGATTACTGAAGTGCTAGTCCATATGGACCATCAAAGGCTCGAAACAAGTGACATGCTGTTCGTCCTGAGGATTGTTTTGGGAGATCAGCCGAAAATTCGACTTCGCGCTGTGTCCCTAGATTCTCTGGGTGATCTATCAGATATATCCATTACCATATACTGGTCACCTAACTTTAGCACATGGATGGTCGGAATGGAGTGTCTGCGTCGCAGATCTCTACCTCCCTTTCATCAAGTTGAGGTTTCAGGAGCTCTGTTTTGATTTTTAAAGAGTTCGATGGTAATGTTCATGAGTCATAACGAGCCCAAGCTGAAACTTCGGTATGTCATAGCAATCCGCCAACTTGGTCTTGCTTTGACAATATCATCAGGCCACTATACCTTGTAGTATATAAGACGACAGAGTTCAGGATTTCCACAACAGCTCCGTTCAAACTCCAGTCAGCTGAGACTAACCAAGGGTGTCACAGTCGCCAATATGTCTTTCAAGTCCGTCAAGCACGCTATCTCTGCATTCTTCCATACTGTCTGGTGCGCCATCTTTCGAAGCATTATCGGCATAGCGATACTCATAATCTTGACAGCACCACGCTCCAGGGGGAGTCAACCAGGTTCGCAGCTTGAGACTTTTCCATTTCTTCTCTTTATGACTGGATGACTATTAGGCCATCCAAGCAAGACCAAACCTTTGTGGAGTACGCGAATATTATGATATCAGATATGCAGTAAATTGTCTTACTCGGAAATTCACAGGTACCTTCCTCGAGGAAGCGCAACCGTCCAAACCCAGGGTTCCCGAGGAAATTCTGGAACCAAGGGAAATGGTTCCAAGTAGAGGATCGGCGCATATAAACGACGTGATATATATCTCATCGTCATCCACTGGATATAATTTACATTCTCTTATACTCCGCTATTTCTTACTTAGATTGCTTTATATACATTTATAGTACACACTTTTCTGACCTTTATTAATAATGTTATACAAACCAAGTATATTTTTCAAAAACCCGTAATATATGTTATCTATTGGTTCCGCTGAACACGATCGTAAACAAGGACGCAGCTACGATGCGCTTCTATAAGATCGTAGCTCGCTCCTTGTCGATGATATGAATCAACCATTCTTCAGTCCAAGAAAGGTTGGATTTTATCATTCAGAACTACGACAATGACCATTTGGCTTTGAACGAGCTGAAAATAAACTGCTATTCCTTTAACATGCAGGCGGAGGCCCATACTTTGCGGAGAATGCCGAGACCGCCGGCAGCGGCCGGGCAGACCCAACTCTTCCGCGGCGACTACTACTCCGACTGCCTAGCCTGCAAATAGCTTCCCTTTCGAATAAAGGAACATTTTTTTTTTCCAAGGCGGCCACCTCTTGTCCAATTTTCTGCCTCGTGAAATGCAGCCGACTTGGAGTGGCATCAAACGATTGGTTTCCACGCCTTGTACCGAATATGGTAAAGGTACTCCTTTGCCGGTGACTAAACCAGCTCTGAAATACCTAATGGTCTTTGTTTTTTTTATTCACTTGGCGATCGCCACTATTGTTGTTCCGCGATTACGAACTTCAATCACCCATAAAGGCCGACTAGCGTCTCTCCTAGAACTATCGTCTGCTTCATTGCTCCCTCCCACTTCTTTACCGCCCTTCTATGTTCATGGACGAACGCCGCCTACCACTGCGACTGGTTGACCGTTACCTTTCGACCCATACGCCTGCTTCTTGGGCTCCATTCGTCTCTCATGAAGATGTAGCGCGTCAACGAGACCGTAGGGATTTTGCGTACCAATTGCTCGTTCCGCGCCTTAATCAGATTCCGATGGAAATGAACGGGGACAATGTGCGGTGGCTTTTTGACGACTTGGAGCGGATATTTATCACTGCCCCCTACATTGCTATCGAGTCGACTGCTGACGCCGCCGCCGTCTATTTCTTCTTTTCAAAATTGCGCCATCCCTCGCTCAATCCTACGTCGGATTATATCAAAAGAACATATAGGGTGTTGATATTATCGCACTTGGAGGACATAGACTCGTCGGATCTGGAGCATATGGTCTTCCCACCCGAACCTCTCCCTTTCTCAGAAATCCAGATCATCGATGTAGTTCTCTCTGATGCTATCAGTAGACCTGGCAGAAACGACCCGTCTACTCTGACAGACGAAGATTTTAGGCGTCATAACGGCTATCCTTGCGATTCCAGATCGTTGCACATACGGCACATCGGAGAGTTGAACTTGTACGAATGGAGGCACATCCTTGGACGGTTCCCTCGTACCTCGATTCATGATAGCTGTATCTATCATTCAAAAGCCCTCGTCGACCAGTTCACTTGGGTAGATAACATACGCAGCATCAGCCTTTCCGAATGCGCCGTCGGACAAGAGGTTTTTCAGGCTCTGTTCAATCGCTGCGTGAATCTGGAGGAACTATTACTGGACATGGTATCAGTATCTCAAAGTCTGGAAGAAGATGCACCCATCCTGGAGGTATTATATCCCAACGAAAGCAAGCTACTCGTCTTCAGTGCGGTTTATATGAATGAAATCGATATGCAGATTGTGCTAGAATGCCTCGCCAATACGAGTGTGTCGAACCTCACACCGTTTAAAGTTGACAGCTTGCGCATCGAGTTGCTTGGAGAAAATCCGCAGATTGGGATCCAGAACGTGGTATGCAAGTATGTCGCCAATAACGAACGTATGAGGACTTTGACGGTAGGGATCAAAGAACGTGAGTACTGTTTTGGATGATTTGGGTGCCCCCTTCTGACTGGCGCCGTCTGTGCAGTGAAAATATTACTTGTCGCCGACAAGACTGGCATCGAGAGCTTGTGTCTGATGAATCTCATGGTCGAAATCTGGTCGACGAGAGACGATGATGCACCTTTCAGTGTGCAGTTGATGCATGTGGTAGAATTCCTCGACGATGATGGATGGATGCCCTTTTTACCTCATCTGAAAGTCGTGAGGATCGGGATTCGAGGAGAAGACCCTCTCGCTTCTGTGGACAGCTTGTCGCGATTGTCTTGGGAATCCCTTGACCTACTTCTGGGAGAGAGGAGGAACCCGATCTGGATGGGCGTTGATTTGTGTGGGGGGGAGTGTGTGGATCCTGATTCTTTGGCTGAGGAAATTAGATGCTGCATTGGGGAGCGAGCACATGTTCGTATTGGCGATGGGGAGTATTCTTGAACATTTTTTACTATATAAATACCTTTCAAACATTAATGTAGTCAGAACGATAAGTGCTGAAAATATTTTTCTATTCTCTGGCACTGGTCTCGAACAACAGATACTGGGCTGTTTCTTGTAAGGATGTTTGTGCAAGTCAATGAAGCAAACACTGTGATCCAATGATTACAGCCAATACAGCAAAAGTTTTGATTCTCGTGACAAGCGAATTGATCTGAAAACCCCGAAGCATGCCCATGAGAACAGCTTAACCTCGTGTCAATTATCCACACCCGCGCCAATCTCAGCCTGGTACACCTACTGCTGATGGAGTGGTCCATTCCGTAACACCCGTTCAATGTGTTACAAGTACCGTTTCACCAACATCAAGCTTAACAATCGGAATCTCGATGAGTGGGACAATCTTACATGAACATTTTTTTCCTGAATCTCGGGGCATATACTATCTGAGAGCAGCCGACTGCCGTGAAATATCTCCCTTCACGTTGGTTCCTCAGCATAGATTCAATCTCCATCATTACTTCTCCTGCCATCAGCGGTAAAAATGAACACGACGAGAAACTCAGGCTGTTCTCCATTCGAGTTATCGGATGCAGCTTATCGATGGTACCTAGCCTAGCGCTTAAGATTTTTCCAAGGCAGTTCAATGCTCCAGTGACGGCGAAGTTCATAAGAAATAATATAGACGGTGTTTCATTGTAAATAATCCGGCAGTGCTTTAAAGTCCGAAAGAACGGGAGTTGAAGATGCATCTCTTGGCTCACCTCGACAACGCTGGATCAAGGTACATGGGCAGAGCCTCTGCCCTCATTCGGCAATCACCGCATCAAACGACTCGCTGGCTTGTCGGTCCGAAAGTCCGTCAATTGTCTCTGCTAGACACCGTCGAATAGCTCCAGTTCCAGTTCTTGGGATCTACAATTTACTTCAAAATGACGTATGAGCCGCATCATATACCCTGATTTCATTTCGATCCTTTGCTGATAGCAGCTCTTTTCTACGTGCATAGCCAAGGTATGCTCCGAGTCCATCGGCGCACTGTTCGTAACGTTGTAACCCGACGCACTGTCAGCGGAGGTTGAAAGGTCGGCCTCTCGTGGTTCTATGATTTCTGACTTGAACTTGGATGCTGACGGCGTCGAGACGATATACACTGTAGTATAAAAGAAGATGCGCAAGGTAAGTACTTCATTCCGCCTGTGTACCCCAGCACAGCTCTTAACGAACTCCATGTGCCGCAGTATTACTCACGACATGCGATTCAACATCTTGAAGTACCTTGTTTATACAACTCATCAAGGTGTCCGGTGTGTATTCTACTAGCTAATTCATCCATGTTCCAGTGCTAACCGCGTTTATAGGAACATTCAGAAAGGAGGGTCATCCAGGTACGCACCTTAGACAACAATCATCTTCTATGCTAAACTCTAGCTAGTTCGCCTAAGCCAGCAGAAGTATCTTCGGGTTACATGAGCTCTGCATGGTCGGGAGTCTACATTCTCTCACTTAGCACAACACATATATGTCCCCCGTGGACGCCAATCCATCTCTTGAGTCTTCCCAAGGGTCTAGCACAATCTCCGATGGAAGTGTAAATAAACTAAGTCGAAGCCTGGTTCTGGTTCACCCAGATGAAGTACAGAAAACTCGAGCACACCGAGCTACGAGTAGTGCAGGTGCTACTTTGATATGTGGCTTTGAGCTCTCCGTTTGAATTATATGGGTCTAATCGACACTCCGGTGTAATTCTGCTTTAGGTTTGCGATATCCTCAAAGTATATACAGTAGTTATAGTACTTTTGTCCCTTCTTTTCTTCACACCGAGTAGCAGCTCCATGCATTTTGTCGATACGTGCTACCAGATTGGTAATATATTGTCTTTACACATCATAATGTTCCATAGTCCCCTCGCATTTGGTTCAATGGCTCACACTACATTGATAACTGTTTCACCGATGAGGCCTATTTAGCACTACCAATCTGATGAGAGCTTTGTCGCAGTTGAAGGTAGATAAAGAGATACTTCAGATGTTGATGAGGCTAAATGGACCATTCTGATGAGAGGAATATTTGAGATGAAGACAATAGCTGAATGAAACTAATAGAATGACAGGAAGAATATAAATGAATTAAGTACAATAGTGTGGTAGTTTAAAAACTATCATCCTTCTAGCAAGGCAGTCTGATGGTCAGAGTAGGAAGATGAGCAGCAATTTGCAAGTCTTGGGAGCATTGGCATGGTCCAGTTCTGCTGAGATCACATGTTGCATTGCCATAGATTCCTGCTTGTCTGTAGCTATAACTGAGACTATCACTAGCCATTCCTGATTCCCTCTCTTGTACCTAGCAATACAGTTCCATCATAACCTATCCTGTTCTTGATAAAGAAAGGATTCTATGCATGTAAGGCTCACTCAGACCCATCCCAGTGTTGGATAAGGGAGTAGATTACCAAGTGACAGGGAACCCTTGAAGGCAAATGCACAAGGGTGTCCCACTCTACATACAGCTTTTATACTACCTTAGAGAGTACATACTAGAATCTTCAAGCAAAGAAGATCAGCTGAGTAATGCATAGCACAATGGTTACCAATCCCGATGGTGAGTGTGGCACTTGTGATGATCAGCACCAAAAATAGCACACTCAGAGGTGCACAGACTCCAGATTCATCTGGGCAGTGCAGTGATAGTGGTAAAAAGGAAGTAGATCAACAGGCATAAATAACGTGTCAGATGCCGGGCCAAATAACATTGTACTGACTCTGGTGAAGCATACAAGCTCTCTTTTGTGATGCTCATAGAAATTTTCCTGTGTGGCAGTTGGCAGATCCTGTCACCCCCTATGATGTGGCACAAATGTTGCATCTCCGCACTACAGGTATGCCCAAGTGTCCATATTCAATTCGAACAGATTTTGTGCATGAATGAAAGTGAAAAATAGGCAGTGATGCTCTTTAGTGTTCTCCTTTCGAAGCTGCAATCAGATTGTCTTCGGTCGAATAGTATCCTACGCTAGTGGCCGTCGTCGTCTGCTTGTATACTCTTGATATAGAAGTCTTCAAAAGCTCCATTGGACGCCGGATATTGAGATCACGAACGTGTCATCAAAGTCGACCCAGGCTCGATTTGTGCTCCTTTTCCGAGTATTTCACGGGGACGAAAAGTGTATCGTACGATTTTATGCTTCCACCTGTCTTGAGAGATGTGTTTATCCTAATGTCTAGATCTTTCCTGAAACCCCGGCCTCTGAAACAAGAAGATGCATTTACTTTGGCATGCGCCGAGGTTCTGTTGTCGCGCTTATAAAATATCATCTGAGGTTTCTGAAGGTCGCTTGCGCGAAACCAAGACGTGAACGTCGCCTTCCACACTTCCCAGCTGGATTCCTTCTGTACCTGAAGAAAAAGTGACTGGACAGCCCTTACTGTGAATGGCTTCAATAGGATTCCATTGAGTCTAAAGATCGATTCACAACCTAAACTTCGACTTTGTCGACTGTGACGCGGAAATAGCAACATTTACGATCTTTCGTGGCACCTCCGGTACTTAGACGCAATTATTTCGAGGCTCCGCATTATCCACCATGTCTGACCATCAGTCAACAAGTGCGAACTTGTACAGTGATCTCGTCCGAGGTCAACAGTCCCTGTACGTCCAATGTGTATAAAACCCAAAAAATGCTTTCTTTTCCCTGTTCCTCATCATGGCCTATAGGGGTTTCGTTGTCTTTTGCCTTAATACCCTGGGGGTCATTTGTGCGACTCAAGAAAGATTGGACCTATATGAGACCTCGTCATCACTAACATTGTCGACGTCGCGCCAGATTGCTTCTCCCGGGTAGCGGCACTTGGTAATGGCGGCCGGTTTAGCGATACCAAGGTCGGATTTTTATTCCCATGGTCTTTACCTTGGCACGAGCTGATCTCTGTAAAGGGTGACGTCTTTGAAATCAATGTCCTCAACAATTTGTCGGACAACACCACCTTGCAGAACACGTCTATGGTATGTACTTTAGACGTTTCGTGAACTTTTGATGACATTCTTTCAGCATGGGCATGGACTCTTCCAAAGAAAAAGTAACTGGGCTGATGGACGGGCTTTTATAAACAAAGTAAGTCTTGAATATTGATACCACTCGCATTTGCTAATTTCAAGAAGTGTCCCATAGCCAAGAGGGACTTTTTCTAGTACAGGTTCGACTCCGCTGGACAAGCAGGGACATTTTGGTATCACTCTCGCCTACTCTAAAAATGAAGCTAGTTTTCGACCGTTGATCGTGATTTGACTAGCTACCCAGTACTGCGATGGCCTACGAGGGCCCTACATTATCTATGATCCTCACGCCAATCTTTGCGATGTCGATGACGGTAGGGCTCTCCTTTTGTGTACTTCAATAATACTAATCGTGTTTGATAGAAGCAACACACTCCCGCCAAGCGGTCGAAATCCTCGCCAGATACTTATTTGATGTTTAGCACGCCAGCCGCGGCATTAATCAATGGACTGGGAAGGTTAAGTTTCACTGAACTTCACTTTACTGCATGTTTTGCTTATCAAAGAATAGATTCAGTTCCAACCCTACATCCGATTTGTCCGTTATATCTGTCTTCTGTTTCTTATGGTTGTATCAGACATCGCTTTTGCATGGTAAGTATGTCCTGCGATGTCTCCTTCACCACATCCATACAGGCCCATAACATTTTCGTATATACTATATCATTTCCAAGAAGTTCTCAACAGAGCCGACAGGAGAATCATCGAAGTGGACGGCGTGAACCATATGCCTTATACCGTGGATCGAATTGAGATCTTTGCAGGTAAATCTTCATCCCGAAAGTTCTATTTGAATGCGTCTAGCCCAATCCTCCTCTCTAGGACAGCGCTATTTCCTTCGTTGTAGGAGTGTCTTCCCAATTAACAGACGTTGTGGCCTCACCTGCAGCCAGCTTGCAGCGGACCGACCAATCAACAACTACTGTAAGTCCTGACCCGTTTGCCTCGGGCAACGTCCCTCATCTCTCATCTCGCAGGGATATGAGCTGCGCCCAGCGCTGGCTTGAAGGGCTTTACTGGCACATTGAACCTCCTACCTGATGTCTATCAATGGAATTAAGTATTACGAAGTCGACGAAGAAGCACGACATACGAAGGAAAAGACCAAGTTCAGGGCATAATCTACGCCTCAGATTTCTGGACATTCAGGGTATAGAAAAGTTGATAACACCCGTACGAGGAAGGAGAATAGGACATACGGCTCCGAGATTCTCGAGTGGCTGGGATCATGATAAAAGCATGAACAGATAGGACAGATAGGACAGGATCAGAACGGAAGCACACATACCATGAGGTCAGTCTCGTTCATTGGAAAAGCTTACTGCTGTTTCGGTATCTGGTTCCTTCTCTTCAGCGCCGGAATATCGAAGGATAGCGCCCAACGGCGCCAACTTCATTCCGCCGACTATGCTCGTGCTTCTCCAGATTTTGAGCGGGGCTCAGAATGCGAATGATGTTCTGCTTTCTGGTTCCATATACTCTCTTCCGTCGAATGCGACAATCTAGATTTCGATGCCTGGAAGTGCTGCCGGCCGAGATGTAAGGACTGCTTTCATCGAAGGACATGTTTCCGCGCTCATCAGTTCTAGCATCCGTTCCATCTGCACGGAGGGAGTTCTCCATAAGCTGTTCAGTCTGAAGTCGTTCTGAATTATTCCTAGCACGTATTTGATGTTGTCCGGAGCTTCAACATACAACTATGAGAACCCCGTTAGACGTGATGTTGTCAGCACGGGGAACAAAGGTGATGTGACCATCCGGTTTAGGACGGATAACCCTGGACCGTGGTTCCTGCATTAGTGGGCTATCGTTCAAACTATTTCAATCATGACATGATGACTGACTGACGCTCTTTCTTACAGCCGTATTGATTGGCATCTGGAAGCGTGAGTTATCTCCGGTTGAGTGCGATCATTGTGATGAATAGTTTGGGCCCCAGTGGTCTCGCAGTGATTTTTGCTGAAGATGCGGGAGATTGGAATAGCGTTATAGACCCTACCTGTACGCATGTTCTTGCATCACAGGATCTGTACTGACTGAAGCACCGTAGCCCATTAGGACGATTTGTGTCCGAAATATAGCAGTTTGACGCCCGAAGACCTATAATTTGGTTACTCTCTTAACCGCTCAAATATCCTACCATCCTGCCATCAGGCAGTTCCCCTCATTTACGTGCCTGTTATAGGACAACCTGATACGTATCTTTATGTTCTTTATTTATATGAACCAAAGGACTGCAGTATACCAGGACCTTGATATCTATGTGCATCAGTCAGCGCTACAGTAATGAACTAACATAGCAGTACGAACTTGTTCCGTCGTCGGGTGGGACGGAGACAGCTACCAGGCACTTTTCGTGGGCGGTAAAAATTTCAACTTAGTGATGTTATCTCGAGGTTGAGGCGGCTGTTATGATGGTGGAAATCAAACCTAAACCGGCTCTTTGAAGAGTATGTGAGTAAGCAGGCAGTCTGAAGGTAGGAGTATATGACGCCAAGCAGGCTGACATGATGCTTTGAAGTTTGACTGTTAGTGTCAACTTCAAATGAGTCTTATCCTGGTAACTGACATCTCGGCTGAGTACGAAAACCGTGATTGATCTATGACACGATCCACTGTTGCTGTGAACTGCGTATATATCTCCCTAAAGATCCGCACGGTGATGCCAATATATCATGGAGATGAGACAATACAAATGATATGCCAGGCAAGGACGCATAGAACCTTGGTCAGGCCAATCGAGTTGTTATCTAGGGTGTTTTGATTCGAGATGACGGCAAGGCCCACTGTTTATTAGAAATTATAAAACAATGTAAGCGCTATATTCATTTTGTATGTTGGAAAAACACTGTGGAGCGCTTACTGAGTCGGAGTGACTGCAATCTAAGTACAAGGCAATGCTTGAGCTGGCAGTGCAAGAGATGTCAAGACCGAAGGTGTCGAACCATAGGCATTTTTCTCTCGAAAGAGGGAATTTCGACATAAGTAAACCTAGTTACATCGTACCTGCACTTTTTGAGAGAACAAAAGAAGGACGCGTCAACGATTAAGTCGCCTAGACAGGCGGGCCGAGCTTCCACGTTCCATCATATCTGTCGAACACCTTATTCTCCGACTTTCTCCAGTATTGTTTACTGTTTCAGCTATCTATAATAAGCATGACTAGCGCCATTATATATTCAATTAATGGCGTCGCGGAGTTCATATTGTTGCTACTTCGTCTTAGTCGATTCGCGGGACGTGAAACCCCGGAATTTTTCGAAACCTTCGAGTCTTGGCCATTGGTCCTCGGATACAATCTTTTCTTCCATATCACTACCCTGCTTCGAATTAGACGCCTGTTTCAAATGAACAACTTTCTCAAGGACCAAATAGGACAGTGTGCTGATCCCCGCATTCATGAGGCACTCGCCATGTCCCTCGTGATGATTTCCCCAATCTGCCAACTATTCGTGCTTCTAAGTTATCTGTCACTCTGGAGATTTAACATCACCGACTGCCAGTCAGCTTATATGCATAGCATTTATAACATATAAATGAAGTAAAGGCAAGCTGCAAATCTTCATCACTGTATCCTCAGGTCACGCTTAGCACCTGTGCTGCCCTCGCAATGAGCTTCTTCACGCTTTTCAAGGAAGTGGTTATACACTCCTTCAAGGAATTCAAGTGCACTATTTTCTTCTTTCTATGCTTGCTTTCTAAATGTAATTTCGTAGAGATTTTATCACCGTCGATAGACCCCGTCAAGACACCAGTACTCAACAGTAAGTGTGGAACTTTTTGTCATAAATATCTCACCCGACAAGATCTTTCAGCAGCACAAACTCTAATAGGTGACTGGAATATTCAACTACTTCAAACTGACGGTGTTGATATATACTTCAGCGGATTCTCAGCTCTAGGGCCAAGTAGCCGGAATCGTCAGAGACCAAAGCATGGTCGGGGCCATTCAAACTGACCCGGCGTGATCTCTGGATCTACACCTATGAAAGGATAATTGCAAAGTTTCCCGCTGACGTTCACAAATTGGCTTTATATATGCGTCCGCATCCTTCTACATGTAATTTACACATGCTCCTCTTATATTGATCCTACCACTATCAATAGCTTTGCTTGGTTTCCTGGCAGTTATTTGTGCCATTACGTTGCGCTTCCAAGGACTCAGATGTGGTCACGGCGACCCGGTCTGATTTGGAGTTATAGCTGTTATTTTATCGGAGCCGAGTTGAAAATGAGGCTCCACATGCCTGATTTACGGGTAACAGGCCCCCTTGATGTAGGAGCCAGATACGTACAATCGTACTCAGCACCCAAAAAGGTTTCTTCGAAGTGATTCTCCAGTCTGTTATGGATGATGTCAAGAAGAGTATAATATGTATTATTCTGCCTTCATTGTATGATAACGGCCACTGTCTGTCGAACGATGGTACCACAATCGACGTGAAATACGTACAAGCGGTTTCCGAAATTTTCGATCTAGGGTCACATTCGGAATCATGTTGGGTCGAGAGTTGACACGATCAAGATAGTAGCAAGAATCACCGCTACTAAGTTACCTTGAGCTGTTAACAAACACGATGGAGATATATCGAAAACGATTGCCTGGTGTTCCCTTCATTCTCTGACTGAGATGTTATCTCATGCTGCAGGCAGCGTTAACGGCGCAACAGAGGCTTCGTATCACAAAGCTCCTGTACCCAAAGTTTAAGCGTACCTAAGCTCGGTGTTTGGTGACTTAAGGATTACACCAACGCCATCTCCGCTTTACACTTTCCAAGAATGATATTAATTTGCCATGTAGTCGGGTCTTTTTTGAGCATAGAATCGAGGGATAGTAGGACCTGGACGAGCACTGGAGTGATATTAGAAGACTCGGCTGTAGGTTTCGCCGGTCAGAAAGACTTGCCTAGGCATTTGCGATGTCAAAGCATCCCAGGTCCGACTCTGGCTGAAGGCTGCAGAGCAATCCACAGGCCACAGCCATTTCCCGTCGGACCACCGGTGGGGAAAAGCTGTTACTTCCTCGCTCCTTGAAAAGGGTCACTCATGACGATGAAAGTCTGCTGGGAATCTGATAAGCCGTTCCATGGAATCGTCAGCAATGTGAACGTACATCAAGCGCTTGCGTTGTTTCCGGGTTCTGCGGTGAGAAGTTCATCTTAATGAAAGGTATATGGCATGTGTTCATCATTAATAAATCTTGAACAGAGTTCACGCCCACCAGTGACGCCGAGAAAATGGATCACACAGGGTGGCCTTGCACCTGTCCTATCGTGAGTACATCCCTTCAGATATACCTATGCATGAGTTTGATCATGAGCAATTTGTACCTGTGAGAGCATTCAAGTTGCTGAGTACTTGACAGTCGCGGAACCTTGGACTTCCAATCCTGGACATATGAACGGGTGAAGTCACGATGAGAATTTTGGACCACAAGGGAATGTGGAAGGGAAGAGGAAGAAAATATTATGGGGAAAACCCTATACCGGTCGTCGGGCCGACGGACCGGATTGGCCCGAAGCTAGCTCTCTTACTTCATTGAAATTTGACAGGCCTGTCTCGCTGATACGCATCTTATACTTGGGCATCTTTCCCGGATTTCAGATTGATTTGAAGGTTTCTTGTTCTATCGCAGAACTTCTGAGTTGCAGAGGATTGTCACGGTATGATTGGTATCAATCGATTGCAATCATCTGATCATTCCTGAAGATCAAATATCGATGAATCTTCTCCCAGTACGTGTCATATTTTGGCATATAACTACGCTTTAGTATCTCTGGGTAATTGTACGCCGAAGTAAATTTGACCGAGATTATGCTCACTAACCTTCCATTTTTATAGAAACTCGGTTCCGCTAAGGGATCAGGCATGGGGATAGCCTGTAGAGTATACGATGTCGCACAATTCCCCTGTGTGGTACCCTGATATTCTTCCTGCCTCATCACAGCTCATCAGTATGACCGCCAAGCCGGTCGACCCTGTCGCATATATGTATCCCGGAAGGCACATCGAAGTGGAACAATTGGACTCTTCTCTCATTCTGCCGGTCAGACACGAGAATCTTCTCTCTCTAGCTTATACATTCAAACACTCGAATTCTTGAATTTATTATCATTGCGCAATTTGGACGGTATCGCCAAAATCACCAACGAGCACTCAATCAGACCGCTGGTGCCGCGGTAATGCTGTTCCTTTTAAAGGATCGTTCTTGGCTATGTCGTCCTCAATGACAATTTCAACGTTCATCTTGACTTCATCGAGATGTTGAAGGAAACAAATGATATCAGGCAGCTAGCCATAATATCTGATACTGTTGTTTTCCGAGTACATCATGAGTGCCAATTATTATCATCCGAGATATACCTGCGAACTAGGCCTATTTCCAGAATTAGAACGTGGTTGGAGAGACGCGTCGTTATAATTTGCTCGTATTTGGGATACGCGCTCCTTACATAAGCCACTCCTCTTCTTCCCGACGTTGATGTTTGACGACACCAATAGACAACTTACATTTTACAATCCTTCGCATGTCCTTAAAAGTGACATAAAGCCCTATCATCTGCACCTATGACCGCCGTCGCGGAGAAAATGGTCGCTGGAATCAAGGCCCTTGCTTTTTTCACAGATACTGATAGGTGACTCGTGAGTGCTTCCCCCTGTGGTCGCGTGCTTCTGATCCTTACTTTCAGGTCATTTTGTAGTCGTCTTTGAGTATCTGATGACCAACAATCAAGTATAAAGGTCAGTTTCGAAACACTGACGAATGTTCCAATTTTTATCATCTGTGATACCCTCGTCTTAGTCGTCCGCAGGGTATGCATAAGTAGCCATATGGAAACTTCTTTGCAGCCTACGGTACCTTCTAATTTAGGAGCCAACTGTAAGAATGTTCTGATCCTTGCCGACCCTTTCCTTCTATGAATGTGTTATAGTACGAAATCGGTTTCGACGCATCAGAAATGCGTCGAAATCATGCATCATTACGTCGACGTACTCAATGTCATGGGAATATAGTCAGACTCAGATTTCCATAAATATCAAGCGAACACCGGCAGAGACTTGATGCGAATACACGATGTCACTGCCGGCTCCCCAAGGTGTCTCCTCCTCGACCTTCAATCCTCCTCCACTGGATGGATCGCTTACACCCCCCGAATTATTCGACTACAATGGATGCCACAGCGCTAAGCACAGTTTGTTTCGATACGACGACTCGGACGATGGCAAATTTCGCAGTATCACCTGGGAGGAAGGCATTGCCGCATTTCATGTGGCCGGACATTATTTCAGGGAGCACATCAACGATGAATCTCCAGCTATTGTAGGCATCCTGGTCAATACTGGTATGCTTGCGTATTTCCGTTGGTGTTAAAAGGCCTCAACACCTAGCAGACTCTATCACCTACTTTACGGTGCTCGTTGGCCTAATGCGCCTCGGCAAGATCCCCTTCCCCATTTCCACCCGTAATTCTGTTGCTGCCATTATTCATCTGATGAAGTCAACGAATTCCAAGTATCTTGTCGTCAGTGGAGATGCTACGCTGCAGAAGCTTGCCGATATTGTCTACCGTCATTTCAGGGAAAGTGTGGCTGACGAAGGGATCATCACGATACCGATGCCATGCTTCGCCGATCTGTATTCCTCCAAAGCACGCTCATACCAACCCCTCGCACCGATCCGGCCTGAATGGTCGCAGACGGCCATCGTCCTCCATTCGTCGGGTACGACGCGGTTCCCTAGTCCCATTTACACTACCCAAAGGATTCTCTTGCAAAATCTGACTCGGCCTTGCATGTGTTTTCAATTTCCGTTTCTCACTCCAACTGAACGATCTTAAGATTACGGGGAAATCGACTTGTGCGGAGAAGTAGTCGGAGCTCAGGCGGTCCCAATGTATCGTAGGTATCTTTTCTATATGCATCCTGGGCGAGACGAGTTCTGAAGTTAGTTATAGACACAATGGGGTTTTCGTCTATCTTACTCTCCGTGTGTTCATCTCTTTCGACTTTTATTCAATAGCACTGACAGCTTGTGACAGGTCGGAACCGGAGCCATCATTGCCTGCTTCCCCCCTATAGAACCGCCCATGGTACCGACCGCCGAACGGCTTCTTTCAAGCGTGATCAACACCAGAAGCACCATAATTTTTAGTGTTCCTTCTTTTCTGGAGGTGCGGAAAAACGTCTCGGAAATTGATTAACATTGCTAATAGACTAGCGATATAGAACTGGGCGCGGGATTCTCGGGCTATCGAAGCTCTCAAATCGACGACTGCGATTGTAAGTTGTTCCTTGTAGCTGAATAATTATGTTGACTATCTTCCAGACGTTCGCTGGCGGTCCACTTGAGAAGACTGCTGGTGACACTCTTGCTGCAAATGGGATTTTCATAGTATCCGTTTTTGGACTGTAGGTGTCGCTGTTTTCTTGATGACTCTGCCATCACACTTATTCTCTTTCAAGCACTGAATCCGCTGTATCCATGGTACTGCCCAGTACGAACGCCATTTGATCTTCTGTGAGGCGTTGATCTGATCGATAAATAGAGAGCATCCCAGCTGAAGGGTGCGAGTGGATGAGGGTAAGTGCCCTGTAAAGTTTCTGGAAGCTGTTGTGGACTATCTCGCAGATGCCGAGTAATATCGATGTCGCCTTTGTTCCGACAGATGAAGAGGGCATCTATCATCTGTACGTCAAGGCAGGTCTCTGATGTTGTATCTCCTGTTGTCTCTGCTAAACGGGTGGAGCTCTTAGGAAAATGGACTGAATTCTCCTTCGGTCCTCGATACTGAAATTGACGGAGTGAAGGCTTTCGATACGAAGGATCTGGTGCAGCTGCATCCTTTGAATCGAAATCTTTTCAAGGTGTATGGGCGGGCCGGCGAGTTGATGGTCTCTCAAGTTTAAACTCGTCTAATTCAGATTCCAGATGACCAGATAATACACAATACAGGGGTACACAGTGTATTCTTCTTACCCCTGTAGTACAATACTAATCTTCATACCTATGTTTTAGGAGAAGGTATACTGCTTCATACTCTTCGCACCATTATGCTCATCACCCTTATGAAGACCAATCCTGTACCAATTGGTGAGCAATTTTCAGACACACACGACGTTTCTCATGCTATCCAATGCAGAGGCATGTCTAGTTGCGGACAGACGTATCGCGGCAGCCGTCATGTTTGGTCGATCGAAATTTCAACCAGGCGTCCTTATTCAGCCTACGCCATACGAAGCCTTTGACTCGAGCGATGTCATACGATTGGCAGAGTATCGGACAAAAATATGGTCTGGCTTGGGACTCCCAGTTTTCCCGTGATATCGTTAACCTTTGGTTCAATAGGGCCACCATTAACAAGGCGAATGAACAAGCTCCCCAACATTCCCGGATATACAAGGAGGTGGGCATTCTGCCTTTGTTAAAAAGGTTGATTGTTCAATTATTTGGAAGATGATCCTCATTGCGAAACCGACAAAGCCATTTGAGTTCACTGCGAAGGGGACCCCACGACGAAGCGCCATCCTGAAAACTTACAAGGAAGAAATCGAAGCTTTGTACAAGACTCTTGACCATCTATTTCCCGCTGATGTGGTAATCCCTCAGGTCTGGTCACTGAAGAATATCACAACCATGATTAGAGATATCGTTCGGGCTGTTTTTGAACGAGATGTCAATGACACCGATGATATCTTTGTAGCAGGAGGCGACAGGTATGCATTTTAGCATCCGTCTGACACTGTAGCTCATAGACTGTTACGTAGTTTAACAGCAATGGCCATCCGAAACTCTATCCTTCGTGCGCTTCGCGAGTCTGACGCAGTCTCTGTGAAAGCTGTCAGAGCTCTCCCGCATAATTTTGTGTTCGACTCACCCTCCGTCGCGGAACTGAGCACTTTCATTTATGGGTTCGTGCTCGATACTCAAGCCACAACGACTCCTCAAGATACTAGCAATGGACTCAGCACTGTTCCTTCAGACAAGCCTCGGCATGAACAATCATTTACCGATCAAAGTCAGAGTGTAATGAAGCTACGAGACGGCAACGGTGAATCGCCTTTGATCATTATTCCTGGTAAGCGCAATCTTATCGTACATACAGTGTGTTAATTGAGTCTTTCCTAGGTGCCGATGGATCTTTCTTCGAATACGTGACCTACGCAGACACTTTCCGAACGGCAGTTTGGACACTGGCCTTCACACCGGATACACCCTTGACCTCTCTGCACGACATGGCGTTCTTCTATTTCTCCAAAATCAAAGCCGACAGACCCACTGGCCCCTACCGTTTTGCGTCCTACTCGTCGACTAGCGTTTTGCTCATCGTCCTCCTGAAGCTCTTCGAGGACAACGGTGACGAGATTGCGCAAGCTGTTATGCTGGACCACTTCCCAGCTATGTTAGTGTACGCCGCTAATAAACACGGAAATCCTGATCCCGGGGTGCCAGAGAATGTTGAGATGATGCTTGATGCGAGTATGGTTTCTATCAAGGCAATGATGGACCGAGACTCGCATCGCAAGCAGCGGCTTTGGGATACTGTCGGTACCAATGACCTAGATATGGTATGCCGGTCAATCCGCAACATCCGGGCATATCTCACTGCGGCTGCCGAGTTTGTGTATAAATTGTCGACAGACAAAGAAGGAGTGTCGTCCATTGAGCTGATGGCACAGTGGCTGAGGACAGTGAAAGCGCCTGTGACGGTAGTCGTGGCGGCCAAGGGTGCTGCTTATGGGACCGAGTGGCCGGACATGGGCACGAGGCAGTGCCTCCCGGACGCGCGGGTTGTGGTTGTCCCAGGAGGCCACTACGAGTTTCTGAGAGACGAGGTCATCGTGGAGCTGCTGCAGGAGGGCTATTGAGTGTAGAATGAATGATTATTTTCGATGATGCCGTAGGCTTTGTCCTGGTTTGGTTACCATCTTGCATTCCTTCTACCGCGTCGCATTGCTATCATCACCCCAGGCTGTCGGTTTAACAACTATTTATATCTCTCTACCTTCCGTCACCCCATTGGCGACGACGGGCAATGTGGAGCCGATCTTCGGATTAGTGGAGATAACTACAATTTCTAACCTAATGTGGTCCCGTCTTCGCTAAAAGCCTCCTCGTATACATTACCCGCACATTCAGCACATCCATCTCTGTCGGCTTTCTCACCCTATGCACTATAAAATTCTTCATTGTCCCCAATTTTTTTCCTTGTCCAGAGTATCCCTCCACACCATGTCCTGAAATGATCCCCGAGACGCCTGCCGACGTTTATTGCAAGAAAGATTGACCATCAACTTGGTATTTATGTCATCCAGAGCGTCCCAAAGACTCTTTGCGCCTTTGATTCGAAGGCAAAGGGATGAAGATGTCTATTTCCTTCACAGTGGGGATGTCCAAGTTCGTGATCACCATCAGCCACAACGACAATATTTACACTGTTCTTTGAGACAGACCGCCAGTTTTCTGATCCTCAGTGTTTTTAAAGGAAGTGATATCGGCCCGAAGTCTTCGACTTGCACTGTCTATCAGTATTGGTGACTCCACTTCTCTTCGTTTCGGCTCATCAAACTTGACCGACAGCGAAGGTAAATTCTTCAGCCTCATTTTGACGTACGGTCCAAACTCAACATCCAGCAACTTCAAATCTCCATTGAACCATGCTCCCGCCTTTGATCTGCCCAAACGGAGTAAGCTCCTCTACACCCTCGATCTCTTCCCAGAACCCCGTCGTATCCACTCTACTAGAAAGACCCTCTTCAAAGCCTGAGAGCCCCTCAAATCCGAGTGTCCCCACTTCACCCTACGGAAGATCTCCTCGAGGTTTTCCGTATGAGCGCACACCTCATTGAGCGACGTCATTTCGAGTCTCTGCACACATCAAGTAACACATGGACCCAGGTACCAATCCGTGGTGAAATGTCTTCGAACGTGGTGCATCGTTTTGCGTCGCTCAATCAGATGGTGTGGAAAAGATGAAATCTGGAGCGGGGGAAGAGGATATGCGAAGCGAGAGTTCAGGATGTTAGAGCTTGAGTAGTGCGATAGGTGTCCGACCATAGGGTAATAGCGTCGATTACGGGTTCGAGGATTTCTTGAGAGAATAGAGGGTCCATTGGAGAGAAGTCGGATGAGGGGTTATCATCATCATCATTACACGGTACGGTGCCAGAATTCTTGTCTTGTCCTTGTGAAAGAACGGAGGCGTAATGGAAAAAGGTAGGACCTCCAAGTTTTATCGTGAAATCCCCCCTTAAATCGTGGGATACATCCCGACTCTTGGTAGGCAAAGAACTTCCTGGAACGACCTTTGGAACTTGAAACGGTACTAAATTGGTACTAAGCTAACAGCAGACCCACGTATTATTGAGCAAGATAAAGTCTTGTCCCATTGTCCAGAAAGTTGAATCCAAGAACCGCTTGTTCCTTTTCGTATGCTTTCTATGAAGCTCATTGCATAAAGCAAATTTGGAGAATTTCATCTGAATATGATTTCAAGCAAGCCCTGGGATGGTACACAAACAATGCGCTTTTGAATGGCATGCAAACGAGAACAAGAACAGGGAGAGAATTATAACATTCCAGACTAGGACGTGAGTCGTGTTTTGCTGAAAGAGGCAGGCAACATATGTCCACATTGTTCGCAGCGGTCAGTCAAAGACCTAAAGGAAATACGAAACATTCATAGCCAAGGTAGTTGACTGCGCATTCGATAGGTACACTAACGGTCCAAATGACGATATCTAAGCAAAACTAAGTCCATTTAAATATTCACAACAGGTCCAAACCCCCTCAATAGGAAGTTTTATTCGTTGCAATGGCAAGTGCCTTGAACGCCGCAAAGGTGTTCGGCCCACTCTCGGGAGCATTGATGGCGAAAACCATGCCTGATGCACAGTGACTGACGGGCACAGTCTGGCTGCAATAGGCCCAAATTGGGTTGGTCTAGCGGAATGTCAACACGGCACGTTATGACACAAAAAGGCTTGCTCACATCGTTAACGGTAATTTGGAACGTCGGGATGTATGTCGCATTTGCAGAAACCGGCCTACTGTAGCAGCGATATCAGGAAACACGCTACAAGGGGAAGGACGAGATGGGCCTTACAATCCGGAGAAGAACCCGACCGTTCCAGTCGAAGTCTCCAAAGGCACACATGGGTTAGCGAAGTTGCTCTGGGTAACCGTATGATTCTTGGGTTGGAATTTAAACGTGACTGTATCGCCAACAGCAGCAGTGATATTCGGGGGACTATAGGCGAGCGTTCCGTTTACTCCAACGATGATCTTGTGGTCGACGGGTACGGGCTTGGTGGGCTTGGCCCAATCCGTAGTCGTACTCACAGTTGGAGGAGGGGGAAAGGGACCACCCGTAGCGATGGCCAGGGCCTTGAACTGATCGAATGTCCCAGGAGGAGGATTGATGGCGAACACCATCCCTGTTGACGTTGAATGTCAGGAAGATGCAGGCTTATACAAAGAGATTCGTATATATACCAGCTCCGCAGTGGCCGGTCTGTTCGCAGTGGAACCAAACGGGGTTGTCGTCGACGACCTTGACTTGGAACGCAGATAGGTACTTGTTGTCTGGCGCAACTGGAACGCTGTGGACGCCGTCAGATCACAATGAGAGAGTTGTTTATGCAACTAACAATCCAGAGTTAATACCGCCATTCAGAGGAACGCAGGGAGCCTCGAAAGACGATTGGGTTACTGTGTGATTCTTCGGCTCACTGAGTGATAGTTAGCATAATGACAGCGATATGAAGAAGTGATGCATACAAAATAAAATTAATCACATCGCCTGGCGCAGCGTAGACGTATTCGGGATCATAGGCGAACTTGCCATTGGCGCCTACAGTCACATTGTACGTCGAACCGTACGTCGCCATAACGGCGGGTAGAAGAGCAAAAGCAAACAAAGAAGAGATCATTATGAACAAATAAACCAAAGGGAATATCCCTATGGAAAGGCGAAGAAAGAAAAAGATGGACAACGAATAATTACTTCCAACTTTGGCGGCGTTTTATACCATGCGCATTCCAAAAACGACCAGACCAAAGAGCGGAGGCTGAGGTGGTGCAGTGCACAGGAGACTATATCCCCGTATCGTATCTGTACGTTTTAATTGGGTGGTGCGGAAGAAACTTGTAGGACGAACTTAGACTGAGGCGCAGCAATGGCTCCAACTCCCGCAAAGTGCACCTCTCAAACGGCTTGTGGAAGCGCCCTGTACAGATCCAGCAAAGATTCTGACGCTATGCTTGAAAAACGGATACCCTCGGGGAGGTCGGACAGCAGAGCCGGTGTCGATGCTGTGTCCCCATTAATGATGCGCCTTTTATGCGGTGGGCACGAGACTAAGCAGTCATGAGCGGGAGGAAAAATTAGATTAGTTCAAACTGTTTGAAAGCCGTGATCCACGATGAAACGAGGCAAATATGCGATCCTAGTTTCATGTTGAATAGTCGCCACGGGATTCGGAAACGGGGTCGTCGAAGCTAGCCATTGTAGGAATGGTTGAATTCTACCCCTGGTAGAGTTAGTTACTGAAGCAAAGTCCCGTAATGACGGATGTTTACTCTGTAGCCGATGTAGGTGTTGGCCTTGGCCTTAGCAGACATGATGTCAAACACAAGCACGGGTGTCGGACCAGATACATAGATCGGCCATTAGCTGTTCATGTGATACGTCCTGTACCGCGATATACTACCGACAGGACGATTCAGTGAGACGGGAGTCGTGCAGAAGGTATGACTGAGGCTCAAAACCATCTATAGAAGGTCATCAGAGTCCTAAGTAGATACATCACAACATGGACCCCGTCATATCTAACTTTTGCTTGTAATTACTCCCACTCAGTATGACAATTCACCAGGATTGAAACGGAGCAAATTTGGTTGAGGAAGAACCAACGTTGATATGTCCAGCGGATCTGGGCATTTATTCTGATCTGTCTTCCCTAGCTCAGTGGTGCCGCGATAAGGCCGTACCAGCTCGTGTCGACAACAAAAGTGCGGATGAAGCGGATTTCTGCATTTACAGGGGGCCATTATACATCGTAAATGAGCTTGTAATGACTTGCAATGGGCCCCAGAAGGAACAAAAAATAGAAGAAATCATACTAATAATCAAAGGACCACAGCTTTGTCTGAGAGGTATCGCATATATGCGCTGTTATCAACGATGGGAATTCAGAACTGCAGGTAACGTTCATGTCTCATAGCTCGAAAAATGTAAACGCTCTTCCGACTTTAATAGGGTCGACAACCAGGTTTCTGCTGCTTGGAACGGCTGGTCAGATAATAAATATAGAAAGAGGTAGTAGTCAGACTCACCTCAGTTACGAAATCCGACCATCCATGAGCAACACGGTGGTGCAAGGGAAAATGAATATCGGCGTTTGCCGACGCCGCCCATCGCGTCCCATGCTTGATTCTCCACCAGTCACCACGAACATCTGCGCTCTCTTGTACTTAAAAAAAGGATTTCAAAACGCCAGTATACACCCCAAAGGATTCGTACCTTTTGCAGGTCGCCCTAGTCTTTTGAACCAGTCAGCTGCCGAGGCACGCATTGAGTTCGTTTTGAAGCATGGATGGCAGGTATCACCAGCCTGGACTGGCAACTAAGGCTACACACATCTTCTTCAAGCATTAGAATCTGTACCCATAGAGCGTATTATTTTGGACCTTGGTTGTAGAGTCTAGACCCAATAATGCTACTCTGAACATCCAAGAAATAAAATCTTGAAGTATGACACATCTCCGAGCGGTAATCGGGCGCCCACGACGTGCACTCATGTACTTCGATGAAAAAGACGCGTTTTGGTTAGCGCGCTACCATTGGTTATTTATTTGCGGTGGAACCCCTCGAAGAGTCAGAGAGGTCGAATGGATCGATGTGATGTGTTCTAGCTACGACAACCGAACCTCTATGAACCTGCCCTGAACAGTCACGTGACCCGTCTGATCGTCGGAAGGATCGACGAAGATGCCGACGATGAATCGCCCGTAGATCCGGTGGCGGGTTCCGTTCATACTAGGATTTGAGTCCAAGACATTCACATGCCCAGTGAGAAGAAAACAACTGGAATCTCCAAGAAGGCGTTGAGGGGGGATAGACATGCCACCCGGCCCACTGTTGGGCTTGGCTCTGATTTCTGTGGAGAGAGGGTTCAGAAATAAGATCTCAGGTGATTGCCAGATTCCCCTCGGTATCCTCGTGACTTCACCAGTATACAAAGATTTTAAAAGTAAAGGTCTTGATGAGGCAATGATGATAAGATCCGATAAGTTAAGCATGGGAACATTTGTATGCCAACGTGGTGCAATCAAAATTTTGAACTTTGAATTTTCCTCTTTCACCAATTACTGACGTGCCGTTCGGTTGACCCGTGCTTATTTTGCGAATCTTCACTTTTGCGATACTCACACACCTGACCGACTAGAAACACGCCATGCTGCTAAAGTAGCCTCCTGGGTCCTGTTCGTTTATCATTCAATCGCCGTCACCCTCGAAGCTACGGACCATCTCTGCCACACCGTCACAGTCGCTACTACAAATATATGATTCCAACTATCCATGGGAGCGCATACACATGAATTCTTAGACGAAACTCTGCAAGCTCGGATCACTCGCATTCAATTTTCTTTCATTTCATCCCAGTTTGGAACAGTGCGAGCACTAAACGGGTCGACGTCATTCTCATCACTGACATTGCCAACCGAACAATATTGCGCCTCTACGTGAGATGATTGAAGAAGAAGTTCAACTAATACTGGCGCTGTCGCGCTCGTTTAATAGCGTGGCACCCGTCCAATTCAGCGCCAGTCCACCCAGACTCTCTGACTTGCGTTTGCTGCCAACTCCTGCCTTCCATGTTAATCCTTTTACCGAGTGTCTGTCCACACTCCCCTCTAGCACCGGATCTTCTACCGTCTACGCATATGGGCGGAAACTCGAGGTGCGTGCTCATGGCAAGTCTTGCTTTGCTTCCCCATTCCGATAGAACGGTCTGCTTTAAAAAGGCTCGCGGGTGGGTCATATGCTTAGCAGCACCCCAAGCAAGCCAACTCAGCCTGATGATGCTATCTTTCCTCTCTCTTCTCCTAGTCGCTGGTAGCGCCAATGCATGGTTCAGACTCCCATGCACGCTGCCGCTCGTTCAAGGTCCCTCCCCCCATGCTTCCTGTCGCGTTTACCCAATGACTCTCAGAGCGCCTTGACCCTATCGAGCAGCCCAGCGTAAATCCCTCCAAACATGTCCATGTACGTACTTTCTGATGTTTGCCCTTGTTCTTCGTCCCTCATACCGACGCGCTTCAGACTGTACACGGAGGATCCAGTGAGCCCTGCACTTGTCGCCAAGCGTTCAGACGGCTCACTTTCGCCTTTCCTTCTAGACTTCGCGGCTGACAGCACCTACCAAACCATGCGCGAGTCTCGATGCACTTCATGTCAAGTCGGACAGGATCTCTCCAACTATTGTATGGCTATATAACTGAGTCATCATCGCCGCTTGATAACTGACCCGGTTTATATAGGGTTCCCCAAGCTCTACTTCAGGGACCCACAGACAGGACTATTCGAATCTGTCGCCAACGGTGGTATGATTTTGGTTTCATTTCCTGCATCGCTCGCGCTTACACGGGGGGAGCAGGTCTCCTCATCTACTACCAGAACCGCGGAAGCATGGACGTCGCCAACGGCGGTCCTGGGCTCAAAGCCTTCCCGGAAGGGTTCAGGATGATCACCGGGGACCCGACGAAGCGCAGCTTCCCGTACGTTCAGCTATCGAGCACACCGTCGTGGTCCAACTCACTGACACCCGTGGTAGATTTCCTCCTGGCTTGGGCACCCAGGCCGAACTCGCGGAAAGTGCCATCGCCTGGCTGTGCTTGCGCTACACGACGAGCAACCCCGACTATGGAGGTCAGTTTCTTCCACCCCTCGGTTTCTCGGTGACACATCCATTCTGATTCTGATGGCCGTGATGGATTGACAGGAACGGGCGGATTTCCCACTACGGACTGTGAGGCCGGGTTCCAATCTAGGTTGCATTTCCCTGCGTGCTGGGACGGCGTTGTCAGTATATACTTATATCTCCCTCTGTCTCTTTTTTTCTTTCTTCTTTGTTCCACCGAGCACTGAATGGGGTTCACGATAGAATGTGGACAGCGCGGACCATAAATCCCACGTCGCGTATCTATCGTAGCTCGACAATGGCGATTGCCCCTCTACGCACCCCGTGGGCCTCATGAAGCTCTTCTACGAGATTACATGGAATATCCACGACTTTGTCGGGAGATGGAACGAGAGTGACGGATGGCCGTTTGTTTATGTATGTGTCTTTTACTGTGTCTTTTGCTTGAGCTGACGCTGTTTTTTTTTCCCGTAGGCTCATGGGTATGTTCAGTTCCGGTATTCGGTTAACGGTCCGCTTGTTTACCCGTGTGATTCCATATAGCGATCCGACAGGATACGGATGGCACGGCGACTTCCAGAATGGATGGGATGTCGAGTATGTGTTTTTTTTTCTTTTCTTCCCTTTGTCTAAACCACCCCTCTCTCTCATCGTCATACAGAGCTCTGCAAGATGCGATCGACAACTGCAACAACCCCGATAACGATACTATCAATGGTAAGAGGGATTCAGCGTGGCCCCTCGAAAACCGATTGATTGATACTCACTCGTATCTCGTCTAGGCGTATTCACCGCTTGCTCGGTATTCGATATCATCAGCGCTGATACCACTAATGAGTGCAGAATCGCTGCGGTGGTCGATGAGGCTACGGAGGGTACGCTCGCGAAGCTCCCTGGATGCAACCCGCTGCAGTACGGCCCGGGGGATGCTACGATGTATACAGATGCAGAGTGCCCATCCTGAAGCACTGATATAATAATAACAATGTTTGTATGTACGAATTTATTCGAGTTAGGATAGTTGAATACGAGTTTCCACCTTCAGTGGCTTTTTTTCTCTCAAAGCTTGAGGAAATTAATAAGCCATTTATGATTGATCTTGATGTTACGATGAATCGTCTGTTGGTTCGTTCGCCTGGCACAGCCCCACCAACCACTAATAACCGGCATCTTCAGGCCGTCATTCTCATTCTCTATCTCTATTTATATTTTTCACCTCTTGTTCAAAACGATCACCGCCTTGCCTATACTACCATGTCTACCGGCTGGAATCTGTTCCGTGAAGCTCAGACGTTGTACGCCCGAGGCGATGCCGATGGGGCCTTTAAGCGCTACCAGAAAGCTATCAAGAAGATCGTGAATGATGAAAACGTTATGAGGCAGTTACCCATACCTGGCGAGGTGTTTCCTGATGATACCTATCCGAGGCAGACTCTGGGCGCAGCATGGAGGAACTTTATTGGTTTGTTCAAGGACTCAGCGCTGGGTAAGACCAGGGGTGCGTACATCCAATGAAAAATGCCCTTTTGTTCTGCCTGGCTCGCCGTCTGTTAACCGGCTCGCGTTACAGAGAACTCGCCGGACGCATACAAGCTGCTCTACCGCTACCGTCCCACTTCCACCAAGGACCACGCCCGTTTTTCCACCAAGAAAGCCAGGCTCTACCTGACGGGCATGCAAATCACCGCGGGGCTGACGCTCGGGCTGCTCGCCTGGGAGGAGAATGACCGGCCGACCGCCATGAAACGATTCCGTGAGGCTCTGGAACTCGCCGCCGCGAACCCACCGTACTCTGACCTCGCTAATGCGCGTCAGCCTTGGGACCGCTTCGTCTACATGGAGGTGAATGATGTGCGAGACGGCCTCGCTGAGGTGTTCCAGAACGACCCTGAGAACGCGCAGCTGCTGGAGATGTACGGTGTGGAAGGTGGGGATATGCGGAAGGAGGTGTTTGGAGTTGGATACGTCAAGTATGAGGCCGATGGGGGGATTACGTTCGAGAGGAACGTGATGGTCGCGTCGGATACGTGGACGGCCCGTTGGAGGCGCGATGTGAAGCTGCGCAAGTATTGCCGCTGCAAGGAGATTGCTCGTAAGGCGTGTATTTTTACATGGCTTTTATTGCTCGTCTGTGCAGATCGTTTCCTTAGATTGTGGAACCCGATGTTAGATGAGGTGAGTTCAATTGTTTTCTGGTTTCGTTGACGGCTCTGACTGGCTATTAGGATGTATAAACCGGATTGCATTCCTGCTTAAACTGGAGTCGTCTTTTTTGCATAAACGTGTAATATCAGTCAGCTTTCAACGATGCATTTTAAGCTTTTCCACGATGCATTTTTTTTCTGCTTTGCGTTTCGAACCCGGTTATTTCTTCAAGTTGTGTCTCTCTGACCTCTGAATTTAATGGCATCGTTGACAGATCTCCTCAGAGCGGAGAAATCAACCGCACCCTTTGTATTTCCTTATTAATTATCAACGCTGGCACAGGGTAATAGATTTTCTGGGCAACGGTACGCACCCTTTGTGAATATCATGCCATGAATAGCAAATATAGTGATATACGAGGACTGGGCTGGTGCGCCGCTGTCAATATAGGAGAGCTCGGTTCCGGTCAAGGGGTTGACTACGATGGAAGTGAAAGCCATGATAGCGAGATCAGCGAAAAAAACTGTGGTTCCGGATGTCTACAATTATATATCATCAGGATAGTGGGAGGACTTCTCCGCTTCGAGTTGTTGCTGACTGGCAAAAATGCGGCAATCACGCTGTAGTTATGCACATGACCTTCCCGCTAGCGAGTCCCGGGTGTGTTTGGAATTGAGTCGGAAGTCCACCGGAGAGCACGTACACCCGATTGGTCCGCTGTGTCCATGGGCGCTAATTATGAGCGGCTCTTAAGTGTGGCTGCATTCAATTGATGGGCTTCGCCAGTCGAAGAGGAAAGGAGGTCGATTACTCAAGTATCAACAAAACACTGGAAGGACGCGCAAGCTTACGAATCTGTACACTGCTAAGAAAAACATACGAAAATATTCAAGTTCCCCTCTCCTACATTATGTTTGGGCAGTCAAGATGCGTTGTAACTTGTACTGAATATTCGCTGAGTGATGACAGGTCATAGAGATTGTTGTCCATGTTTTAGATTAGAAATAAAGTGTTGTCACGATTCCAGTGGCCAGTAGCTAGAAGTGAACCAAAAGGAAGCGCCCAGTTGGTCCCAAGGATAGAAAAAAGCAAAAGTCGCGGATGTTGCCGGAGGCCGCGGCACGTTCAGCCGCGGCAGAAAACCCTGGTCCGGTGCCAATGGTTGGTGGAATTTAGATGAACAAGGAAGGTGGTTGTTCAAAGTCAATGATTAGCTGTCTTGATCCGACGGCTTGTCTTTTCTTCAAATTCATTGTCTTTTCATCTCATTCATATTTCATTCCATATTCCTGCCACTCGGCCTCACTATTATATATAGGTAGAGCAAGCAGTGAGCACTCTCACCTTCACACTCACTGCTTGCAGACACAGTACATTCTGCTACCGAATTTCTCCCACTCACCTCCCTAGTTACAATCTCTTTACAATCTCTTACATTAGTCTATCTCATACATGCATAATTACCTTGGTCCTGCACTTTCAGGTGCTCAAGAACTCGGTTTCCAATGTATCTCACTTTGATCCATCTCCACTCCCGAAGTTTCCTGCAAGCACTCGGGGGACTTCCTCCGACACCCAAACAAACAGTCTAAAGCATTGATTTCAGTTTTAGATAGTTTGTTCTCTTGCAGGATCTGCTATACCTGTCATACAGTCTTCTGATGCTCCTAGAGCATTTTTGAGAGATTCTCAGAAACTCTAAAGCAGATACACTGCTGGCATGCAAGGAGACGAATATAATTTACGGCAAGAGAATGCCCTGTGTTGCTAATGACCTATCCATTACTATACATAATACATTGATTGGACACTAGTAGTACAATAATTATATCAACCCACTCAGCGAGTCACATTTCTCCATTTCGAATTGCATCAGAACTGAGAACATAACCTGTTATGCATAAAGTCATCTCTGCGTCTCAACAGTGTCGGGTATCCCTTGACTCTCTAAATCATCTGCGACCAGATGAGACTTCTCTTTCAGTGCACGTATAGATCGTCTTCTCCGAATCCATCGATACAAAATCAGGGCGACCACCATGAAGATCGCCACTGCTAAGATCTCATATTGAGTGTTCGCACACGAAATTATGCTAGCGTTGCCCGTACCGCTGGACCCGTTGACCAATGACCGTTTACTGTTGTAATGCAGTTAGCCAACTGTCATAGGGGAGAAAGGAGATGATGGACTTGGAGGTTGAATACTCGGGGATTGCGGTAGGAGCAGGAAAAAAGGTGGTTTGCTCGTTTCCCATACTTAAATTCTACAGATAATGATGAGCGAGAGAATGTCTGATAGCAGAGGGCGTACCTTCACTGGAGTGTAAACGGGGTGATGGTTTTAGGAGGTCATTGCATAACTTATATACTAAATCGCGTTTGGTGGACGTGATGAAACACTGGGACTCAATCAAGGGGCATGAACAAACTCTGGTACTTATCATCATAGATTAGATGCACAGCAGATATAAAGTGTACGCAGCGTAAGCAATGGATGGTGACACTTGCAGGTTGAGCAGCCAAGACAGTGTCAAAAACGTCTTTGTTGGAAGTAAATAGCTGAAGAAAATCATCGATTCAGAAACATTGACATATGTAGATACATTTATATTCTTGTTTTCTGGGGCAATAATTCATTCATTCAGTCGCCTTCCAATCTCATATATGGCACTACACAGCGATTAGGCTCTCACTTCAGTCTAGTTAGTAGGAATAATCGCCTCATCCTTCTTGTCCTGACCGGTGCCTGCAACATGCCACAAAATAGCAGGGTGATAATGATGACGGAGAAGAATTGGATGAATATCAGCAACTTGTTTGTGCTCAAGCCAGGCTGCTAACATAGATGTCCCTGGAAAAATGTCAGATATATGGCAAGGAAGCTGGAGGAAGGATGACAAACATCGATGCCAAACTGATAATCATCAAACAGCCTATGCACATCAGAACGGAGAACAATGGCATTGAGGGGTATGTCGAGGTTTTCCTTGGATGGCTTGGAGGGGATCTTAGTTTCTTTATAGAACACGCTTAACCGAGGATCGCGGCGAGGGAACGACACTGGAAACTGTGAACAGCACAGAAATGAACAGTGAGCACCTAGTTTTGAACTTTGAAGCACAATACAAAGGCGACGCAACATACTAAATCTATCCCACCGAGAGGGAACATATGGGCAACTTCTAATCCAACGAAATTAAATCCCCTCTGCCGCCGGCCGGCAATGTCTCCTGTGACACGACATTTCATATCACGCATTCGAACATCTCTTCTCGTTGATGCTTTCTAAAGACAAATATATCAGATATCTGGTGAAGAATATCCCCATATCACTGACCCTATTATATTTACCACCAGATGTTGTAGATCCAGTTGCGGTTACTGTCATGTGCCTGTCCGTGATCTGTGGAGCCGAAATAACTGGACACCAGCTGTGGACCTTGACTTGCCCTACTGTTAAAAGGTAAAATGTTACTAGCAATTGCAACAGCGCAGGGCCAGAAAACCATACATTCATTCCGAGAAAGTCGGACAAGTACATAGTGTCCAATTCTTACCTCATCATCACTATCAATGTGATCATTGATGATGAAGCGGATTTGCCGGGGCGGAATCGGGATCGGAATTGTAGAGTTCTGCCAGATGAAACGAGGATCTCCGTCCCGTATAATGGTTCCTTCAGGGGCACCGCTAGGGTGACGGTCGATGTCACCCAAATAATACAAAGCAAAGTCTGGATGGTGTAGTTAGCATGAGTTATGGGTTAAAGAAATGGAGATATGGACTTACGCTCGACGGGCTCCGTTGAAGTAATAACCTTTAACCATTCAAAAAGTTTCTTGTATGTGACTTTGTTTGCAGAAGATGTAAAGCAGCCTGGGCAATTGAACATACTGAACTGTTAGTAAGCGCCAAACGAGAATCCTTGAAAACAGACCAGCAACAATACGTATCGCGCCACGTTTGTCTTTCGGCGGTTTCTCAGATGACCAGACATGGACATTTCTTTGATCCTCATTCGGGTAACGAGAGGAATATTGAAGCAAAATGTCAGGGGAAGGCATCTTTCATATGATCCTGGCTGGACTCATTCTCTCTCGCCCTTATAACGCTCTGACGGGGGCCGAATAAACAAAATTGTTTATGTTTCAAGCCACAACGATCCCACGAACATGGGAGCCACGTCGTCACGGCACCGTCAATTACCCATGGAGTCAAGCCACTGGTTTCTGAAAGTGTGTGAGTGAATAGATTGTCATTAGCAACGGAGCAACATTTAGGCGTCTCTTTGAATGATCCAAACCCCACGTAATAGATATCACGGGAGAGTTTAATCATTAGGAGAAAAGTAGAACGCATGATAAATGTAAGAAGTAATAAATCATCCTATCGATAGTCTGTCACAGGCGACGCTTTCCGGAGAGATAAAAAATGGTAAGTACTAGGTTGACCGTGTCTTTCTTTCTTTGAACGGATAAAATCAAATATTCACAACAATTTCACAAAGTTTTGTTAACTTGCTGTCTGGTCGATGATAACAGTCGGTAGACTGCCAGAGATACTCGGTAATTGAAGAAGGACCACGGTATATCGGTAAACGAAGAAAGATTGCATCACCTCTGACTGCGAACTGAAACAGGTATTTCTATGATTAATCTCAGTAATTCATGTTACAGTTGTTCATCCAGGTTCATTAACTGAGCAACAGAATTGCTTCTCGTGGGAAGCATGACTGACACAACGACTGGCGCCACATCTCGGGCCGGTCAAAAGAGCATGACAGCTGACATAAGCATGTTCTATTTAAACTGCCCAGACGAAATGATGATCTGCATGCATACGATCATGAATCGCCCAACGTCACATATACTCTCTTCTATATCCTCATCTCTCGAACGCGATACATTTCTCTGGGCATATATATTTCCCTCAACTCTTCTTATTGGTGGTCTGGATTCCTTTCTATCTTCATAATTTGTTGATGAATATTCGTATAGGATTCAACTCACATCTCACACCCGTCTCCTGCGCCACTTTGAGACGATGGACGAAAGTATTGGACCCTATGCGTTGGAAAGATTTCTCATTAAATCGTGTTATTGTACACCCATACGGCGTCATGTCCTATGGTGTTGAGCCTGTAGGAGAAGAGATCCCCCCTCTATCGACGGAGCCACTTCCTACAGGAGATTACGGATGGTTCTCCCGCAGTAAGTACGTTCTTTACTCCTCTAATATCTGAAATTCCATGATCACACAGGCAGAGTACCTTTCATTCCTGCTTTCGCGCATGTCGGAAGCATGCACTCCTTCACGGCTATGCAGCGCATCGCAATAAAGGACGGAGATTTCTATTCGGAACTCGGAGATCCTCACACCATGGTTTCTTGTTTTACTCTGCATTTTCCAGTATCATGTTGAGTTAAATTCCAGTTCAAAGTACCATCTATCATCAAGGATCGAGTCCGCCAACGTGATCAAAATCGATGTCTCTTTACCGGTAGCCAGCCGCAGAGAGCTATCACTGTATCTTGGCTTGTACCTCCGTATTGTTGCGAGGAAGTGAGTATCTCTCCTCGTTTGGTATCATAGTACCTAATCTCATTCCCAGGTATTCCCCCCTCGGTTATTACTGAGAGGTCTGGCCTGTATCGCGAAGACTTAACAGTACCCTCAAATGCGACGGTCTTGCACAGAGACCTTGTTCCCTATTTTCTCAACAACGCCTTCAGCGTCGATATAGACGTTTGTATATCCTCCCATTCCCTTTAACCTGGTCGTACTTGAAATCTTCCAGGACGACTACCGTATCATCATCTTCCGTGAGATGGGTTCCATACGGCAACTCCTTCCTACACATATGCCTGCTCCCTGTGCCCAAGATCAGCAATTTGACATGTTTCTCCGAGCTCACTTTCGCAGCTCCTTGCGAGTGAACATCCTTCGTGGCGACATTAGAGAGGAATATGATGCAGGGACTATCCAGAGAATGATGGGTCAACTTGGTGTCGGAGATGACAACGATGACGACGAGATGGCTCCTCTTTCGGATTCGCGTCGGAACTCTGTACTTGGACAAGCCATATTGGAGGAAGTCATGAGGGAAAGGATCGCTAGAGCGTTGTGAATTTCAATCAGTAATCTTTCTTCAAATTATATGCACTCTGTTCAGGCCACGGACACTCTAAATCACCTACTTAAGTGTCTGCCTCTTTCACGTTAAGCGATTCCGAAAACTTTCAGCCCAGTGTGATAGTTAGGAGAGAGTTATCCAGCTTGAAGATCTCAATTCGATGGAAACAATACTGAAGGATGATACACCTGGATAGATTGGGTACTGTCCTTTGGCATGCACAGTATAAAATAGAATCCTACCAACAGCCATAGCACATGGTTCTGACCATGGCCGAGGGTGCCTGAAAGATCAGACAGAGAAAGCTCTGAGCTGTTTTGAAACATGAGCATCTTCAGAATAAACTGACATGCTGCAGCCTTTGTTGAAAGAAACACATGATACCTGATGCCAATCCTGAAATGTTACTTTGTTTATACACCAACCTAGATACATTCCTTTATTTTCTACTCCTATATTTCAACCTGACAGTATATATGCCCCCTGGTTACACATGCTACCTCAGTCATTTCACACTAACTGTGCCAACTGAGGCATGCAATTTGAGCTATTATACTATTATATGTTGTACTCACAGTCCTTACAGTTCTAACTACTCTGTTCACTTACTTTCAGGTAGGATAGACCATCAATACCATCATTTCACTCATACTGTGCCAACTGAGTTCTAACTGCTCTGTTCACTTACTGTTAGTCTTGTCACCATTGAATGACTTGATAGAAGAGGTGAAAAACTCTGTTGCAAAAATGCTCTATCCCAATTGACACATCCATCCTCTATGTTGTGCAACCAGTTCCTGCATTGATCAATAACAGAGCCTGATTCCTCATCTTGCTGATAAGCTTCTGGCAGGCAAGGTGAATTTTCCATTTGCATGTATGCATTTGCTTACATTAATTTGCATTCTGTTGGTGACTGTTTGCATTCTTACTAATACATTGTTAAGCCCAAGTTGCACATAATCAGAACACATGATAAACTGGTGCTGTATTGTGTTCATACAGTCACATCAGAGTTCACTTGTGTGTATCTGTTGACTAGATGCTTCAAGGCCTGTAAACAGTTGGCTCAAGATAAAGTGGTAAGAATAAACTTTAGCTTAAAGCTGAGGATATACAGTGAGAGCTACACTACTTATATACTGTTCAAGTCTGAGTTAAATATATCCCTACTAATTGTGAGTTTCTATGCTATAGTGCTCTTTGTCCTTGAGCATTGTTACTGCCTACAAAAGAGTGTTGTCTGTCATAGAGGGTCATCATTGTGTCAGAGGACAATGGCAGATTTGGCCTATTAAAGTGATTAAGCCTGTCCCACAGTCCTAAGCACTGGTATAGGTGCTCTGACTAAGCATAAATAGGAGTTAATTGAGAAAGAAAAAAGAAAAAATCATAACATTACTCCCTCCCCTTAATACCATCATCTTAATAGCTATTCAAGAGAGAGTTCATAGTCATGAATTATATCATCTGCATTCATATGTCATTTGTTGATCCATTGATTAGATTCAGGGCTGTAACCCCTCCAACTAACCAAATAATCAACTGTGATTTGAGTTCCTCTGCCACAGGCATGAACTTTGTGGAGTTTGTGATTAAGAACTTGATCAATTTCATAGTGTTTCTCATCATTGATCAGTTCCAGTTTGGATGGAGGTGGACAGTCTTGATTTGGGAATGCAGAGGTGATATACACCATGAGTAAGGTATCATTGAATATATCATGGATTTTCCATATGGCAGGAAGGTGAAGTTTATATGGAGAGGTGTTGATTTTAGCAAGGATAGGGAATGGGCTGGTGCATTTGTTGGTGAGCTTCTGTTTTGGGCAAGGCAGATGAAGATTGATTGTGTCTAACCAAACCTTGTTGTGCACAGTATAGGAATAGGCAGAAGCATGATGTTTGTTGTATTGTTTTTTCATAGATGTTGCCACTTTTTCAAGGGCAGCATGTGTTTTATTGTGGATCTTGGACATTGTTGCAGTGAAATTAGAGGAGGTGGGCATTATTGTACAGAGTCATTCTGTATAGGAGATGTTTGAATAGCAACTATAGTTCATGAAGAATGGAGTTTTTATGGTAGTAGAGTGGACATAGTTATTGTGTTGAAAAGCAGCTAAGGCAAGCCACTCCATCCAGTCATCTTGACAATAATTGAAGAATAATCAGAGATATTTCTCAATCTCCTGATTAGCCTGCTCCATCTGGCCATCGGTTTGGGGATGATATGTGGTGGAGGCATTGTGTCAGATGTTTAAAAGGTGGTACAAGTCATCTAGAAACTTTAAGATGAACTGAGGCATGCCTGTTTGGCATAGACCTCATTGCAGAAGATCTTGGCCCACACTTCTGATGTTAATTCTGTTGAACATGCAATGGGAATGATTGCCTTCAAGAATCAGTTGACAATCACTAGTATGGTATTGTAACCATTACAGTCAGATAATCTGGTGATCATGTCAACCAAAATGTGGATCCATGGTGCCTGAGGGACCTCATTCAGATGAAGCAGTGCTGCTCATAGTTGAGTTGATGCATTTTCTCACTGACATGTCTCACACTCCTTCACATACTGTTCTATATCTTGGTCTATCTTTGGCCACCAATATTCCTATAGGACCAACTCCTTAGTTTTCACAATCTCTGGATGTCCTGCTGTTGCATGATCATGGCAGATGGTGATGACCTTGTCTTGCAGTTGCTGATCCTATAAGATATAGATTAGCCTATCATAATAGATTAATCCATTCTTCTTCATTATCCCTCATTCATGATTTAGTGATAAGGCCATGTGCTGATCCCATTTGTGGTTGTCTCATGTCACACTCTTAATCCATTCATGGATCTCTTCTTCTGTTGGCATTATTATCACCTGGAAATGTTCAGGCTTTAATAATACCACCTCTTTATTGTCATTGTCTCCTTGATTATGGTCAACTCACTGGCTTAGAAGATCTGCTTTTCAGTTCACCACACTGGCCTTGTGGTATAGCATGTAACCATATTTAGATGATTCTGTGACCCAATATTGATGTGCTTGGTAATAGCTAAGTGACTAAGAGAGGTGAATGAGGAATGAACTCTGAAACACCAACATCTAATCACTCGATATGCAATCACCAAATACAGTTGAGGTCAGTTATTTTGAGTACAATAGAAGCACTCTTGCAGTCTTAAGTAAAATCAAAAAAACAGTCAATAAAGACAGTTATTCAACTTCTATCTTGCTTTCTAAGATGCAATATTTGTGAGAGTAGTTTATAGCAATGTTTAAGTATAATTAGGACTTAGAATCAATGCAAAATTGTGCTCTAAATCAACTTAGCATATTCCAAAACTTAATGAACTCTAAAACCCAAATACTAAGTCTATCAAGCACTTAGGCTTGACTAGCTGCACTCTTGGCTGGCTAGCAGTACTCAAAACTGAAGAACTTGTATTCTGATGCCGAAACTCTTATAGTTTGAAACCCAAATTAATCCAAACCCAAAATACAGTTATTATTCCAATCCAATCCTCTCTAAGTGACAAAGTGACTTAAATAAATCACTAAGTCAAAGCAAAACTCAAAATCTGTTGTCCCAGAGACTAGTTACAGTGAGCTAGAAGGCCTGAATGTGGGGGTAGGTCACTTGCCTGCTATTTCCCCCCCATTCTCTTCTTTTATACATCAACAACAGATATAGAATCTATAAATAAAGCATTCAAAATAGTATTTCTCCTGTTTAAAGCAGAATCATGCTATTATTCCTGAATGGCAGCACTCCTGGACTTCTCTAGGCTTGCACAGATCTGCCTGGCTACTGCACAGCTTTATTTTAAGCCTACAGTGCCTGTGGGCATCTAACTCTTTTCTGTCATTCAGAGTTTTAACTCTCTGAGCTATTCTTAGTAGCTTGATCAATCAGGCCTGATCAGGCCCAACCAATTGGTTCTATCCACTCTATTCCTCTCTATTTTAAGTCCCTTAGATCATCTGATGTCTAGAAATTCTGACTTAGGCATTTGAGTCAAAACTTAGAGTGCTAGCCACAGATTATTGGATCTCTCTTCTTACTACTTCTGGATGATGCTGTCTTTACTCAATACTCTACAACTGGCTATGGTATTACCTCTAGCTGTCTTAGAATATACTTATCTTAGTGGCATGTAGAATTGGCTCCAGTTGAGGTACTATTTCTAAGTCCAACTTGGACTTAAGTATTTTCCCAGATATGGTGCAGAACTTTTCTAAGTTCAAACCTGACTTAGGATTTTTATCCTTGGGCCATGTTGTTTTACAAAGTCTCTTTTAGACTTAATATTGGTGACTAGCATGTCTATCAGCTCAGAGCCTCAGCCATAGTTCTCTACTAGCTAATGGTTCTCAGTTACTAGTGTATTCTAGTGTGTTATGCAGAATTCATAAATTATAGGGCTGGACATGTATCCTGCATATCACTGCCTGATCTAATTGATGATGAAGAACATTATGAAATCAATCAGATCCTTAATCACTGCCTTCAAAAAACCCACACATGTGAGAGAGGCATGACAATGACCATTGATTATCTGATTAGTTGGAAGAGTTATAGCTCAGAATCTAACCAATGGGTTAATAAAAAGTGGATGAACACAGCTGATGCAATTTATGATTATGAATTATCCCTAAATTGAGCCATTGGGATAATGGTCTTAAGGAGAGGATAATATTATATTTTTTTTATTTTCTTTATAATCTAACCCCTATTTATGCTTAGTCAGAGTGCCTATACCAGTGCTTAGGACCATGGGACCAGCTTAGTCATCACAACAAGCCAAGTCTGTCATTGTCTTTTGATGCAACAATGTCACTTGATGATGCACAGCAGTCTTTTGTGGACAGTAACAATATCCAAGGACAAAGGGCACAACAACTTAAACAGATACAATAGGTAGTAGTATTAATATCTACATGAACAATTAGTATATAAGTAGGCTAGCTTTTGCTGTAAAATCTCAGCTTTGAGCTAAAGTTTATTTTATACCACTTCACTCTTGAGCTGATCTACAAAGGCCTTGAAGCATCTGGTCAACAGACACAAATAGTGGACTCTAATGTGACTGTATGAATATGATATAGTGTCAGTTTATCACATGTTCTGATCACATGTGACTTGGATCTAACAGTGTAGTCTCACTTCTCATGTTCTGTGAGCCTGTTGTCTTGTGTTCATATTATCTCATGCACTAATTGATCAACTTTAAAGTCAACATGGTCTTTCTCACTTTCTTTACCCTTGGTTGACTGCTTTCTGGACCATGATTTCATTTTTGCCATCTCATATCTCATACATGTGTCTGGATCAGTTTTTCAGACTCTTGAAAAAGGTACAGTCATATACCCATAATACAGACAGAATTATTACCATGCCAAACTATATAGCTCCTAGATTTCTTCTGTACATTTGTGGATATGGAACATCTATATCTGCATGCAATCCATATAATTGATGGTCATATCTGTATATGGGCATGAATGCAGAGCCATAGATATAATAAGTCATGGCAATGCAGCTCAAGTATTAGCCAGCTGAAAGGTATTAATATGCTATCAAATTAGTAGATGACTACTCAGCTTATCTCAGCTTAATGGAAAAGTGAAGTACAGCAACTACTTTGTTGATAAATTAACAGCTAGTTTGAATGCTGATGCAGCCAGAGCAAATGGCTCTGAAATGACTTTGGATTTCAAGTTGAGTCATAGGCAAGACCAGAAGGATGGAGACTGGCTCTCTCACTAACAATAGACATGCTTCTTATGATTTTCTTGTCCTCTATCGACAACTAACCTGCTGTTTATATTTGCATAGCCATTATATTTATTGAGAACACTCATTGTGTTTTTGTCTCTGTTGAGACCATTATTCATATTGGTCTTCACAAATTTTTTATGGTCAAGTCATATAAAGGCCCAGGCATTATTATGAAGAATAAGGCCAGCATGACTAATTTTAGCTAATATTTTCTTCTTATACTGATATTTTCCAGCCAGCTATGGAGTGTGCTAAAGATCTTGCACTATACAGTATCCAATGCACCTGTCATGTGACTTGCCATCCAGGCCTTGAAACAGTGATAATACAAGTGAAACACTGAAGTGGAATAAAATGATATTTACATATGCATTCAATTATGTGATATATTCTGCCATAGTACACTATATGAACCTCAATTCAGTGCTTGTCATAAGAAGTTTTCTGGTGGAAATTAAAGGCAATTAAAAAAGGGAGCCAAGATTTTGCATTTGAGTTTGTTGTTGCTCTGATCAAGTCACACCACTTTTTACTAGCCTATATAAATTCAGAGTCCCACATTGATTCTCAAATCTAAATAGTCTACTACAATGTGTATTGATGAACCCACACTCAAATCACCTTTTTCTAATCTTAATATTATGGACACTATTATTCACACCTTATCAACTCTACTATGAGACTACTGTATATCATGAAATTATGTTTATGCTATCTTTCTGCTACAGCTGCAAATCAATCAATATCATCTTGGGCACCTTGGAACTCCTTGCTGTATGTGAGTGTGAAGCATTCTGGTGGCTGTCAAGATGCTTAGAAGTGGTACATGGTATTGAATATTTTCCTACAAATGAAGAAAAAAAATTGTGAGTCCAGTACTATGAAAACCATTTTATCAAAGGCCTACATCTACAACATAGAATTCTTGATTATTTTCTAAGACCCCATCAGAAAATAGGACCTTGGGATCTATGAAATAGCAGTATAGTATTGGAGGTCTCATATTTTGCTGAGACCATACATCTTCATCTTATTTCTCATATTTTCAAACTGAAAATAAAAGTCTTAGGTTCTGATCCTATAAGAGTTCCTCTCATGTTCCTATCTCAACAGGTGACCAATGGTAAGATACTGGACTGTATACCACAGCTGGATGACTTCTTTCCTTAGAAGAAGCTTGCTTGTCAAAGGGTTAGTGTATGAGAAAATGACTCATCTTTTGAGCTTTGATATCACAAGAACCAAATGCAGCTAGACATGTTTCTGAATCATATGATTGTTAGCCTTACTGGTTCTCTTGAGCAACAGAAAATATAGTATAGTCCAGTCATTGCTTTAATACCCCAGAGAGATCCATATGAAGTACACAAATTTCAAATGGCATCACTTGAATGTTTTCAGAAGATTTTTCATGAGTTGTCCTGATTTCTCATTTGTTTCTTAAGTGAAATATTAATTAGAACATTTACTATATAGCAGCTAGTTAGTCTTAGATACCCATTTGTTCAGAGCAATGATTTGAAGTAGCCTTTGTTCATGATGCCACCAATATGATTAAGGTTGAAAATGAGTAGCAAATATCTGGCCTATGGCATTACCTGTTGTGGATGATATTTCCCTTAGATTATCAATGCATGAGACTGCAAGACATCTTTGAACCTGAGCAACTCATTTAATGTTGTTATCCCAACTATTGCAAGACCAGAGGCCAGTTGAAGACATGAAGATTTTGGCTAATTCAGTGGATGCTATAAGCTCATATTAACATTGCATTGACATGCCTGCACAGGGATATACTTGTGATGCCCAGCATCTAAACTCTGCAGCATGTTATTTATATGGATTTTGCTAATGCATAAGTCAATCTCTTCACATAACAAGAATCCAAGATCATTAATATAACTACAGGGCATGAATGCTATGCTGAAATAGGCATGCATGGCATGTATCAACTGATCTGACTCCTAGGTGGTATCAAAAAGAACTTATCTGTTGAATATAAAAGGGATCACAGTTGCTTAAATTAAGCCTATGAAATGGAGTGCTCATTGTGATTCATCAAGCTGATTATGATAGTGAGAGATGTCTGAATAGAGGTATCTGAGTTTCTCAGTATCTTTCTCAGTGTGAACTAAGGGAGAGTATAACTTGGATGCCATTGAAACAGGTGAAGCAAGAATAATATCAGAGTTGTATTAGTTGGCATACTTGTACAAATGCTTGTTTTCTAGACTAAACTGAGTTTGGATTCTGTTTCATGCAACATTAAGACTTTGTAAGTCCTTAGTCCCTCTGAAGATGCTACAGAAAATGCTACAGAAAACCAACTTTGAGTCAATCTGGTAAACCTTGGTTTGATCTAACAGCTGGCCAGCCTGGTTCAGAAAGTCCTGCAAGTCATCCATAGTCTTCACTAAGAAGATGTAATGCTCCTCTATTAAACAGAATCATGCTTGGTTTGAAAGAGCTCAATTGTCAGTGTCAAGAATGTTCTGAGGCTTCAAATTGCAGTTACTGAAGTAGACAACATTGTTCAAGATGGAGGCCTCCTCATTTTCATCATTACTAACAAATCACAGTAATAGCTGGCTTATAGGAGAGTTTTATGATGGTTTTATGTGGAGGTGATTCAATGATGGTTCTTCAGTCTTGTCAACTCTGGGGAGTCTGATCTGAGGTGATAATATGATCATAGCAGCTCCAAATAATAGTCAAATGTTGAGAAAAGATTGATAATAGTATGGTTGGATTCCTCTTCCTTGAAATCATGAAGTTTCATGGCTTCAAGATGGATGAGACATCTTCTGATGAGTCATCATTGTGAGTAGCAATTATTGTGTCAGTTTAATAAGAATTATCATTCTTCTGGGCAAAGCTCCAAATGTTGTGAGCTCTAGGAAGAAAGCATCAAAAAGATAATTAGCTGTTCACAAAGATCAGTTGTTGATGTTACTATAGGATCTGGGTTCCAATGTGTCCACCAATATAAGAATTCAATTATTCCTACTCCTCTTACTCAGATAGTATAACATGGCAATATTATAGTGTTGAGTGAGATTCTTTGAGAATCAAGCAGTCTTGAATCCAAGGTCTCAAGGCACAGCACTGCAACTATAGAGATCTATATGGATGTAAGTAAAGTAAGATTGATTGTATAATTCCAATACATATCATAATTCTATATGTTCTACTCATGTTCCTTCAATTGCACTACTAGAGTCAACTTCTGTGAAAGAGGTCAAGGCTAAACACAAATAAAATGCAGTTAGATCAATTGTTCTCTGAGGAGTTGAATCCTCATATTCATAGTAGTCTTATAGACCTGGAGATTGTCCTTCACTCAGTGACTCAATCTACTGAAAGAATCATAGTGGGAATTATTGCATATGTCTAGTTATTAGTGCTGGATACTGCTAAGCCATGACTCTGATATGAATAGTATGTGCAATCACTGTACATGCTTGGGCTCATGCTTCAAAGGTCTTACATTCATATAGCAATATATAACAAGGAGGAATCTCTTCATTGAGCAGGCTAGCTATTCTCCTTGCATGGAATTGACTTTATTCAGTTCTTATGCCTCTCTGTCTATCTTCCATTCTCTGAAGTCCTCTATTCCCATTCTGACATCTCTTTCTCAAGTTCCCATCTGATGTCTCTAAGATCAGCTTTTTCAATATTTCACCTTGGCTGTGACATATCATGGAGTTGACTTTTGTCAGCTTTCTTTCTCTTCCAAATCAAGTACTTGTCTAATAGTGTAATCCTTGATATACTCCAGAAAGTATTTTCAGCCAAGACTATCACTATTATTACCAATAGTCCTTCTTGTTGAGATTTAGACTGTATTCAGAGAACATGCTTTTAAGATCTTTAATCTTTGGGTTACAAACTCTCTAAGGAGTTTCCCCATTGACTTCTCATATTTATACTAGACTATATCTTTTTCAGTAATTTCTATCTAATTCCATCAATTTCTCTCAGATTTTTTCCTTATTCAGCATGCCAGGATGCCAGATTTCTTGAATTATCTTGCAGATTCCAACACTTTTGCTAAATTTCTCCAGCAAACTTGTTGAGCTTCCTTACCTGGAAAATCTTATTTCAAGAAAAATCATATGATGCACTCACCAAAAATCTATCTTGATAGTCATATTAGCATGATATAATATGCATGTGATAATCTTTCTACTTTCCTGCCATCTACTCAGTGCTGTTATTATCATGATAAAGGGTTCTATATTATTGCCATTGCAGAAATAAAGCACAATACCAATGAGTGCCTTTCTGTGGTTGTATAGTGCAATAATGGCAATATTATAATTGCTTATCCAAACTTGTTTTCACTTTGTACTTCATATCATAAACTCCATTTCCAGTGGCTCATGCCTTAATATATTAGATTCAGAAATTAGGATATTTCTATTGACTGATGAATCATCAGCAAATTGACCATCTTCCATGATCAAAAATGCATTAGATTTGAAAGGCACACTGACCATAGCATGGTAACCTTTGCTAATGTCATGGTAAATGACTGTAACATGTATTTTACACAACTCAGCCTTTGTATGAGTCACCATCCAGGAGGACAGCTATTACTTTTGTGGACCAAAGTTACTAATAGATAACAGTTCATAATTTGCTTTAGTGGAACTATATCACTAGGTCCAAGAGAGAAAATCAGTAATAGCTAGTGATGGTCTCAGTTGTAGCTATAGACAAGTGAAAATCTATGGCAATGCAACACATGATCTCAGAGAAACCAAACTATGCCAATGCTCCCATGTGGCTCTTTACAATCAGATGACACCTCCATATTGCCATCACCTCCTACAGCATGCAAGAAAAGCCAAAAAGAAAGAAAGTCTCATTTTCTGAATCAATCCAGATCCTCCAAAGCATCTCACAAATGAAACAGCCATTGATCACCAGTTCAGTTCAATGAAGAAGCTTATGTAGTCAAACTATGAATCCAGCACAATGATGCAGACAACTGAGATGACTGTCAATTAAAGTGCTGTTGAACTGGCACTTGATACTTAAATCAGTTATGTCTTATACTATGCTGTTGCTGAGTAGAGTTGTTCTTTAAGCAGTGTTGTAACTTTGCAAACAGTTTCTGAGCATCTGAAGAGAGACATGAAATATCCCTTAGTGGAAGTGTTGATGAGACAAGAGGTGTTATTGAATGAATAGAGATGGAAGAAATATCATCTGCCCAGCTAAAAGGCTCTGACTTTGTGAACAATGCATTGGTGAGATTTAAATCATCTTGTAATTCTGTAATAACAGCAGCATCAGCAAAACACCATATAAGGACTTTAACCATGATGGAAACATTGACAACATCTCTCTGACCAGCTTGACAAACACCTGATTCTGCATGCTCCACCTCAATCCAAGTGTCCTTATCTTTCACAATGATATGCTGGATACATGTCCAGCCCTATAATTTGTGAATTTGTTATGATTTTTCCCATTTTCTTCTCTTTTCTTTTCCTTTTTTCCTCAGGAACAACCTCTATCTTTGCTTAGTCAGGGTGCTTAGACCAGTGTCTAGGACCATGGGAACGCTTAGCTCAGCAACCCAATCAGGTCACTCTCCTGTTGTATTGCTATGTGCTGTGAAGGGAGAGACAATGCTCCTTTTGTTCTCCAACTGCAGTGCAGTGGTAACAGCATAACAGCAAGACAACAGCTTTTGTGGAGAGCCTGGCAACAGCAGAGGCAACAGCTCTATGACAGACAATATCTTTTGTGAAACAGCTATTAAAAGACCGATAACAGAACAGTATTTAAGTAGCTTAGTTCTCACTGTAATACTCCAGTCTCGAACTAAAGTTTATTTTTCATCATTCTATCTTGAGCCAACTGCTTAATGCCTTGATCACACAAAGCTGGTAGTGCATCAGTGAATTCTAACAGTATAACCCGAAGTGCGAGGTTCTGTTAGTCTATCACATGTTATCAGTCACATGGAGTTTGAGCCTAACAATTAGTTCGAGACTTTCTTTTTCCCTTCCTCAAGCCCAATTGTGCTGAGGAACCGAATGCCCCCTGCCCTTAATCCTTCTGACCCAAACTTTACCCATGAGTTCTTTGAACTCTTGGCTTCTATTATAGGAATCTTGATTGGTCTATTGGTGATCATACAGCTGTGCCGTGGATGCCAATCAATCATAGCTTGGACAATCAGGCACTATCATGAATTCCAATGCATTCGAACCATACTCTGAAATGTCACACCAGACCTCCCCTTCCATGACATCTCTGCCTCTGTCTGACAGTCCTTCCAACCTGCAGAAGGATCCAATCCTGAAGATGAGCCTCACCTGAGGAACATCTTAGGGAAGAAGAGAAGCAGCATCAGCAGCACATGTACTCCCCACGACCTCCAATGGCAGTCATCCAAAACCCTGGAAACCCTTAGGCTGCAGGGTTTCAATGACCCAGACCCAACACTCCCATCCCATCCCCCTAGCACAGTATCACAGCAACCAGAACAACAAGCCCCATTCCTAGCACCGGCATTGGGTGCCATGCTAGAGATTCCCTGGATGCCCCATGGATGGCTCGAGGAACTGGGAGTTCCAGGGGCTGGGGATCTCGACACACCACACTAGTACAAAACAGTGACACTAATAACAGGAGAGACCCCTATTGAAACAACGACAGCAACAAGCACCACTAGTGGTGAGTCGCTGCCACTGAGGCTGACAGAATAGAGTGCCACCCAGTTGGTGGTAATATTAGCAGAGCAGAAAGCATATGAATGATACCAAGCAGAGCACGACCAATCAGCCCCATTGACCTGGGTCCCTCAAGAGAGAACCCAGTACAACGTGCCTGAGACCTTCCTGAGTACAGGCAGGACCAGACACATATTGACAATGAGATTACAAGGGAGAATGCCCTCTTCAGGAGGTACCTCCAGGCATGAGCAGCAGAGGAGCACAGAAGAGGTGAGGGAGGTAGCCAGACCACAACTTATGTTGGAACTACCACCCCTGACTCGCCCTTCAGGAAATCTGCCACTCCCACCACTGAGTCCGACCCCTGGGCAGACTACCACAAAGAGGAAACCCAGCCCCACCTTGATGACAACCACCCACTATCTTATGGGACCAATACCATTGCATAGATGGAGGACATCCCAATCTGAGAGGATAGAATTCCCACTGAGAGGGGGACCATCAGGGGAGACAACAAGAGTATCGACTCCACCAGTGATCTCAAGAAGTTCCTCAACAGGAACTTTGTGGCTCTTTTCCTCAACCTGAAGTTTTACAGAAACTTCTGCTGGTATCACAGAGCAATAGCATCGAGAACAGCAACAAATGTCGAGGAGTCACCAGAGCAGCCTGAGCAACAGTCTGCTCCTCACTCCAGACCCAGTGACACCAGACCTAGTATGCAGCCCCAGCCCAACCATGCTGGCAGTCTACGACCTGCCCAGCAGTTCTCTTCTTGAGGATGAGGAGGCAACCGATGCAGATGATGAGGCTGAGGAGGCAGACCCCAACAGGAGGGATGAGGTCCTGCTCTCTAGCTGGAAGAAAGAATTCAAACTGCTGACAGAAGAAGAATTATGATGGGAGGTGCACAAGGCATGGAAAGAGGATTTCACTCAACTGTATCAGGAGCAGGTAGCTGAATTATAGAAGGACGATCTCTGGTTAAGATTGTCCTTAGGACAGAGGTATACTTTCACTGATTTTATTGAAAAAGAAGAGATTTTACAGTATGCAGCCACTGAGCAGGCCATTTTTAACTTTAATCAAAGATATTCACATTATCAGATGGGACTATTACCACCATACAAGCCAAAGTATGACAGAAGAATGGCACCAAGAATGTAGACACCGAGTGTAATGCCATCCAAAATGGCAGACACAGCATCATCAATCTGAACAGCATCCTCTCAATATTCATTCACCATGTCGGCCATCTGCAGCATAGCATCTTGGCTTGCCAGGAGCTGACTATAGGCAGACTGACAACATCCCAGCTTATGGAGACTGTCACTCTTCCCATAACCATTCACCAGGCAGCTACCTCCAGACGAGGCTGAAGGCAGTGGAGGAAATGCATCTGAACCACCTCCCCTGACAGAAGACAACCCTGAAGCGCTTGCCCAGGGCTGGACTATTAGAAATGGGAGAATCATGTGAAAGGAAGCCCCAAAGCCAGGGAGTCCCATCACTGATAATGGATCTTTACACTCATTCCCAGGACCCCCGAGTGGATGGGCACAGCTGCCTCATGGCAGACTCCCAAATCCAATGCCTGCCCTTGATGCTGGCACCCAAATCCTCCAAGTAAAACTGATTCTCTGTGCTGAACCCCATCTCTTTTGAGGAGCATCCAATGATATAAACCACTTCCTGGTTGATTGTGACTAATATTACCAAGTGTTCGCCCCATATTTTCTTGCTGACATGTACAAGGTGACTTTTGCCATCACCCACATGGCAGACAAGGCTAAAACACGGTGGGTTTTGATTGCCCCCACGTTCTGGTCTACTACCAGGGACCATCATTAATATCCCACTTGGCTGATCTTCAAACAAATGATTAGGGATAAATTCATGGACCCTGCCATTTAGGAGGTCCACAAACAGAAGATGAAGGAGTTCAAGATGGCTGGGAGACCAGCCACAGAGTATTTCGATGAATTGGAGTGGCTCAGCACACTTGCTGGAGTTCGAGAAGACACTGCCGACACCAGACAAATGGTCAAATATATGAAAATGGGATTACCATCCCATTACCTTATTACCATTTCAGATATTGGCCAAGACATTCTCCTGGGCTATAACGAGTGGAAGAGCCGAATCATCACTATGTACAAGAAATGGCAACAACAGAAGGCAGAAGCAGTCACCTTGGCCTACAGCCATCAAAGTCAGGGACAGGGCCTGAAGCCCTCCACCTCCAACATGACCACATCTGCCAAGCCCAGCAGCTCAGCCCCAACTTCTTATGGAACAAAGCAAACCGGTACAGGCATAACATATACTGGAACAGGTCAGCCAATGGATGTGGATTGCCTCAAGAAGGAGGGGAAATGTTTCAACTGTGGCCAAAGGGGCCACATGGCATGAAACTGTCCACAGAAGAAGAATAAGCATATACAGGAGAACATTCAAGCACAGATTGCCGAACTCATAAAGGAAGAAGAAGACCTTGGGTGGGATGATAAGCCTGAGGAGGAAAAAGATTGGGCCAAGCAGTAAGCAATTCTGCTGACTTGGTCAAGGACTCAAGCAAAGTGTCACAATTGTTTGCTGGACAAACTGACTCTGTAGATACTCCACCTATGACTAAATTATGTGTGCATTCAAATATACCTGACTTTATCACTCATAACACAGAATCACCTAAGGAACTTATTTCAAAAACTCAATTGCCTACAGGCCGAAGAGGGGCAGAGAGCCCCAAAGGTGTGTCATCACAAAAAGTTCATCAAACTAACAATAAGAATAGGAAGACTCAATCGCCCTTGGGCCAAACTGGGACAGAGAGTCCCATCATCTGGCTCAAACCATTCGACACTGAATGGACCTGGCAAGCCATCAAAGATGCCAAGGATGAAGCAACAGCTAAGGCAGTACTCAAGAATTGGGTACATAAGACCTGAGCCAAAGAAGTAATTGACCAGATGATCACTGGAATGCAGGCTGCGGAATGATGCCAGGCCCTGGAATGGCTAGACAAGTTACATGGACCATGAAAATTCATCTGACAAGCCAAATCTCCAGGGCAGGACTTATTAACCAAGGCCCAGATCGAGACGTTGACATCTCGATCTACCCATGCAGTCACTGTCCTAATTGACAGTGGCTGCACAGGAAGCTCAATTAATTGAGCCTTCATCAACAAGCATAAACTTCCCACTCAGGCAACAGTGGCACCCATTCCAGTTTATAATGCAGACAGAACAAAGAACCAGGCCGGGTCAATCACTGAATACATGGAGCTTAGGCTCATCATCGGCGATCACTCAGAATGAATTGACCTGGCAGTAACTGACCTAGGAACCAAGGAGGTGTTCCTTGGTCATGATTGGCTAATCCAACACAACCCGCTAATCAACTGGAAGACCAGCTGCATCATTTTCGCTCGATGTCGCTGCCAGAAGATTCCATTTGAACTATCAGATGAAGATCTCAAGGACCAGTAGGATGAAGAAATGGAAGACAGTGAGACCATTCTCACTGTTGACCTACAAAGAGCCATTAGCATTAAAGCAATGCACCATGCTAATGACCTAGCTGCAAAGGCCAATGCTGGAAAGGAGGAAAAAACATTCAAAGAAATGGTATCCAAATAGGCATGTGATTATCAGGATTTATTTGAAAAAGAGAGTTTCGATGAACTACCTGATGCAAAACCCTGGGACCATGCCATTGAATTAATCCCCAATGCAAACACCAACCTAGATTGCAAGTGCTACCCACTTGGCAATCATAAACAACAGGAACTGGATAAATTCCTTGAAGAGAATTTATCAAGTGGAAGGATCTGGCCATCAAAATTGCCCATGGCATCACCCTTCTTTTTCATCAAAAAGAAGAATGGGAAACTCCAACCGGTACAGGATTATCAGAAGCTTAATGAGATGATGATCAAAAACTGTTATCCGCTTTCTTTAATTTTGGAGTTGATGGACAAACTCTGAGGTGCCAAGTACTACACCAAATTAGACATCCAGTGGGGGTACAACAACATACAAATCAAAGAAGGTGATGAATGGAAGGCTGCTTTTTGAACTAATTACAGTTTGTTCAAACCAATGGTTATATTCTTCGGACTCACCAATTCACCCACCACCTTCCAGTGGATGATGAATGATATCTTTAAAGATCTCATTGCCATGGGAAAGATAACAATCTACTTGGATGATATACTTATTATATCCAAAACCAAGGAGGAACACAGAAAGATGGTATGTCAGGTACTATCCCTGATGAGGAAACATCAACTTTTTCTCAAAGCTGAAAAGTGCGAATTTGAGGTACTAGAGACTGAATACCTCAGAGTCATTATCAGTGAAGGAAGCATCAGGATGGATCCTGTCAAAGTGGCAGGGGTAACTGAATGGCCAGAACTGACCAAGAAAAAGGAACTGCAATCCTTTTTAGGATTCACCAACTTCTATTGATGATTTATCTGAGATTACAGCAAAATCGTCTGACCAATGACACAACTAACCAGAAATTCCCCATGGGACTGAGGAATTTTTCAATGGGAGGTGTTTAACAATCTTAAATGCTGACTAGCTGAGGATGTCATCCTAGCAATACCTAGCCAGGATGGAAAGTTCCAAGTGGAGGCTGACTCTAGCAAAGGTGCTATCAGAGCCATGCTCTCACAGGAACAGGATGGCAAATAGTGACCTGTCATCTTTATGTTAAAAGCGCTCATCATAACTGAGCATAACTATGAGATCTATAACAAGGAACTTCTCACCATAATGCTCACCCTTGCCAAATGGTGACATTATCTCATTGGAGCCAGCAATGTCTTTGAGATCTGGATGGATCATCAGAACCTCCAATACTTCCAACAACCGCAGAAGCTTAATCACAGACAAGCTAGATGGGTTACAGAGTTATCAGAA